ACCATGGTAACGTCGAAAGGTAACTTAAGTTGAGGAATAGGAAAACCTGTTTTGACCGCCCCCTTTTCTTCCTCATCCCCTCTCTCTCTCTCTTTCTATACCAGTGGCCCGGGCCCCCTCCCCTGGGAAAAAATACAGTTGAAAACACGTTAATTTTACCCTCTTTTTTTTTAGATGTCCCCCTCCCCTGGCCTCAAGGGGGGGGGGGGGGTTGCCATTTTTCAAATTTTCGAGGGCCAATTAATATAGTGCTTCCCACCCCCTCCCCCCCCCCCTCACTGAGCAAATATTCTCTCACGAATTGGGCCCCCTCTTTGGCCCCCTCCCCTGCTCCAAACCACCCCTACACACAACAAGTGATTTGAAAACATGTCGAGGTTAAGGCGGACATTTAAAACACATAGAGATTGATGTGATAAGGCCCTCAAACTATGTCAAATTGATGTATTATTGCTATCAATGTTTCTAATGTATAGCTACATAACGCTTTCAATTAGATTTGTTGCATTTCATTGTCATTGCACATGTTGCATTCGATTTTTCAGCATTCATTTCAAATTTGGTGATGAGTTAAATATAAATGGTATTATTGCAAAAAGGAGAATATTTGGAACTATTTCTGTCCGCAACAAAATATGGTAATTCCATTGTGATAAAACATAATAATCAGGGTAAATTAGGGAAAATTGTAGCGATTCTGCTCGTTTGAATTATTTTGTTCTCAATCTCTTCGCCATTTTCCCCGACTTTGGTAAATCTATATCTTAACTTCTCTCTCAAGTTAGCAATCTATAATAGATTCATGTCGTGATATTCTTTGTTGTTGTTGCTGTTGTTGATTCCCGAACATCTTTCCATCTTTTCTAAACACTGATGACCAACTTTCTGACATTATCAGGTCCAAATTGGTTCTAGATGTCTAATTCTTGGGGGCTTTATCACAGTTCTCCAAATGTCCGCAGTCTTCGGTAAGTACACAAGTCTGCCCTCGGATTTTAATTTAATAATTTATATTTTTACGATAATTATGATTTATTTACTTTTCTCCACTTCCACATCATTTTCCTTTGAAATCGTTCAATAATAAACAAATCTGAACATAATAAAAAGTATTTATGAAACTTCTTGCTTTTTTTGCATGACAGTAGGGAAGAATTAGAAAGAGGAAAAGAACTTAAAAAAAAACAATTTTTTACAAAGAAAGAAAAGAGGTGATATTGAGGGAGCATTGCAGTTATGATGAAGGGGGGGGGCACCGATCTCATTCGTAGAGGTGTTGTGACTAGTGGATAAGTCACCTGACTGCAGATCACAAGGTACGGGGTTCAAGTCCCAGCCCGACATTAGGGACTTTTAGATTTGCGTGGACTGATACGTGTGACGTCCATTCAAGGCAGTGCATTAAAAGGACGTCGACCGTAGCAATCCCCATTGTCTTCGTGCGAATCTAAAAGTCCCTACTAATTAACGTCATGTGGCAAGACGTTAATCTGCATTTGCCCCTCTCCACCCAGGTGTTAAATGGGTACCCGGTAGGATGCGAATGTTAATGTAGTTTACTCAGCATTGTGAGCGTCTGTAAAATGACGTCTGGCTGGAATGCTCCCAAGGGAGTGAAAAATGTGCATACATTCTGTGCGGGCAAGCCTAAATCCAATGACCGGGGTAATAATATATATGCATGGCGCTTTGAGATTTCGTTGATGTATTAAGCGCTATATAAAAGCGGAATATTGTTATTAAATATATGAATTGTAGCAAATTAACTACTTTGGCCACTGATTAGAGGTATGGTGCGGAAAAGGTCATTGTCGTAACACTTTTTCACGTCCCCTTTTCTCGATCTAGGTGAAGTCTGTGGATTTTTGAACGAGACTGAAGGTGTTTTAAAAATCGAGGATAACCCATGCCGAACCATCCGGGGTGTTCACGGAGAAATGATAAAAATGGTACCAAGAACTGTTCGCCCGTTTCCCTTTCTGATCTCAGACACCAAACACTTTGTATGCCAGTTGCCCGGTGAGCCTATTATCAAGTTTAACTACGCTGATTATTTTTGACTGGTAAAATGTGAAATTTGTCACTTTTGACTTGGCGCATTGTTGTTTTTATTTCCGTATAAAAAATAATCAGATACAAATACAAATATACGGCTGGTTGCCCATATTCAGCTGCAACGATAATTGTTGCTGCTGGTCTTCCATGGGGCCAGTTACAATATACAAAATATACATAATATTACAAATTTAAAAAATAAATAATTACAAAGTATCAGTCGAAAACTTAATACAAATACTTAAAGGAAAAACAAAACACTCACACACAAAAAACAACAACAAACAAACAAACAAAACAAAACAAACATCATATAAACATACATAAAGAGGTACAACAACAAGGTGATTATATTCTGTTTAGGTTAGTCTTAAAGGTGGCAAAAGTGGGTAGTTGACGCAAATCAGGGGATAATTTATTATATTGAAAAGAAGCTCTGTACACAAAAGTTCTTTTACAATAATTAGTTCTTGGCTTAGGTAAAGAGAGATTATGTGCATTACGGAGGGAGTATGGAGAGGGTTTAAACTCAAATATGTCTTTCAAATATTCAGGGGTCATGTTATGTAATGTTTTGTAAGTTAGGAGTAATAAATGGATTTGTTGCCTTTCACCAAGAAGAAGGCTGGTAACTTCTTGCTTTCACGTATCATTTGCCAACCAAGACAGCTATCACGTTGAGTTGATTCCGTTACGCCGATCGAGAAAAACAATGATACTAGTAGTACTACTACCATGATTTAAACACTTTGAAAGATGCTTTGCACGTGTTCTTAATTTTTTTTTTTTTTTTTTTTTTTTTTTTTTTTTTTTTTTTTTTAGAAACAAGAGTTAATTATGTCCTTACCTCACCGTTAGGTTACATCCACATGCATTTTAATGATAATTTGTTTTGAAATATCAAAATGCACTAATTAGAATCTAAGTTTTTGACTCTGGGTTCAAACGCATTTTTATTCTCATACTGGGCTCGTTAGTGTGACAATTTCTTTTGAGGGACTATTATTGAGAAAGCAATCGTGCCTTGCACTGTTCATTAGATAAAGTAATCAACGTAATTATCATGATTGTGAGAGCTTAATTGTGTCAAGGCTCAGGCTGGTGAATGCAAAAATCTTAGGTTGGACTCGAGGGACTCTTTTGTTCTGGAGAAAAAATAGGTCGAATTAATGGACCTTTTAACGATGCAACTTTTACAATTTCCGTCTACCCCCCCCCCCCCACCCTCTCTTTCTCCTTCTCTCTATGTCTCTTCCTCTCTGTCACCCTGTCTCTCATATCCTCTCTGCCTCTGTCTATCATGTCCTCTCTCTCTCTCTCTCTCTTTCTTGCTTTATCCCTATCATACCCCCTTTCTCTGTCTATCACACTTTAATCAAGATGACTTAACAATGTTAAAGTGCGGGTTCATAGAAAATCACAAATACGGCAAATAGCGTATTACTAGAAACTAGTAAGCTATTAGATGACTATTATGCAAGTTTTAGGTCAACTAGATATCGGGTGGTTTATAAAAATACAAATAAAACAACCTCCATAGCATCTGGGATATGCGAGAGATTCGCCGGAAAAAAAAGTTTTCATGCCGTCACAATATGAACCAACCCTGCCCAAGCAGACGACATCCCATAAAGAATGAACATAATTGCAATGCTTATATTTCTCAAATTATAATGAGTTTAGTGTATATAAATGTGATGGAATTTTACACCATTCAAAAAGGGATATGACCCCCATTCTGATAACTAAATTCTTTTGTTTGTAAATACACAGGATATGGGTTAATGAACGATCAAAGAAACCACACTTTCAAATTAAAAAACCTCCGGAATGATAGCTGGACGTCATTATTGTTCCCTCTTGAAACGCCGAACCTGCCGCGGTGTATGCAGCTGAAAATACAATGGCGCCTTATTTTGTTTACAAGCGACGGATTCCTTTTTTTTTTAAATCCTTGCATTTTTTCATCAAAATAATACCATGCACGGGGTTAAGAGTGAGGCAATAGATTAAACATTTTGCCTGAAGGTATTGAAGTAAGAGAAATAACTGAAGAACAGATAATAAAACAGGCACTGAAATTGTGTGAGATGTCATGGGACATCGTCTGCTTGTGCACATCATGTTCAACATGTGACGTCATATCTCAGCAGCGACCGGGGAGCTTTTCAGGTGCTATGTCGGGGCTGTATCTAAGCATTTTGTAATTGTTAATAATCATTACTTCGAATTTTTCCAAGCACTGGCTTTTGATAACCTTGGCCAATCAAAGTGTCACCTTTGCAATGATGACATTAAAGTTAGTTTTTTAAATCAATGAACCTTCTCTTTAACGGTGGTTTTAAAGGATATTTGCAGTTGGGTAAAATGTTATTACATGATAAATAAAAAGGGAACATGCATGTTTGTTGGATAAATCCTACTCAATATATGGTATATGTTCAGCAGTTACGGGTAAATTAATTCAATAAATGGCTTGAATCATATCTATAAAAAAAAATGTTCTTTTACCCACTATTTGATATTTTCTTTAACCTATGAGCTGTATATTATCTTAACATTATATGCGATTAAAATTGTACTTACAACTTTTATGGAATTTATTTTAGAATCTTTCTAGCCTGTCCTCGGTCTCATAATTGAAGGTCTACATATACTGTAATAGGTCTTTTTCTCATCCTCTGTAAAATGGTATATTCTCTATTTAACATTTTTCTTTTGTTGATGAAAAGATTAGTTTTATAAATGCATTATGGGATACATAGATAATTATGTTTATTGTAATATAAATAGACGGGGTTCCCTATTGGCCATTGCTCGTCTCCACTTGCCGCCCAAAATAACCTTGATTTATACTTATTTCTTGCTCTGATCTTGCTTCTCGTTCTGATCTTGAAGATGAATTCACAGATACTAGTACAACTATCTCGGCGATCACCGGCACCATGAAACCGACTACCACGGATACTAGTACTACTATCTCTGCGATCAGCGGCACCACCAAACCGACCACCACGGATACTAGTACTACTATCTCGGCAACCACCGGCACCACCAAGCCGACTACCACGGATACTAGTACAACTATCTCGGCGATCACCGGCACCACCAAACCGACCACCACGGATACTAGTACTACTATCTCGGCAACCACCGGCACCACCAAGCCGACTACCACGGATACTAGTACTACTTTCTCCCCAACCACCGGCACCACGAAACTGACCACCACGGATACTACTACCGTTTTGGCAACCACCGGCACCACGAAACAGACTACCACGGATACTAGTACCACTATCTCGGCAACCACCAGCACCACGAAACTGACCACCACGGATACTAGTACTACCGTCTCGGCAACCACCGGCACCACGAACCCGACTACCACGGAGAATACCCGAGGTATGTTATGATACCAGTTTTATACTGCAAACTGGAATGGACAGAGTCCAATATTTATACAAATTTATAGTACTGACCAATATTACATAAATGAAAGTTATTACTGAATGAAAGGTTATATTGAGAGTCCTTTTATGATATATTTCGGTTTGGACAACTCCCATATATGTTGTTGACTCGCGGAACTTTCAACCCCCAGATTATTTCCTCGATACACAAACTTACATAATTAGTGTCATTTTATTCCTCTGTTTACGTCATTGAAATTTTTTGGAGAATATTGCCTCTTATGTTGACGATTTATACCCGGTAATTTCTTACGATGTCTTATGAATTTTGTACGATGTCTAGTTACCCAGATCGTATGCGAGGGAGACACATCCCTCATCTACTGTGCAGCGGGTGTCATCATCATCCACACCGCAAGCTACGGTCGAACTGACGAATCCACCTGCCAGCACCTAGAGTATAATGGCAATACAGACTGTGACAATGATGAGTATATTGTCCTCAACCAATGCTGTTTTGGGAGAGAACGATGTATCGTCTATGCACATAACGATATCTTTAGTGATCCTTGCCCAGCGCCGCCATATACCACTAAATACCTGAACGTCACTTATACCTGTATGGCTGAGTCGGTGAATACAGAGACAGGTAGGGAACTCTATCTAGTAACGGTTCTAGAGGGCCTCTTGTGGGGCGTCAGAGCCCCCCTCCCCCAATAAAAACCAAATAGGTATAATAGTGCGAGACATAGCTAGCAAACGAATGCAGTAACCCAAAGGCAAAAGTCCAGTCTAAAAAATATTCTTCTAGAACTGCTTTTGAGCTTTTCCATATCCACCGTTACTCTTTGGAACTGAGGAGTTTATGACATTCAAGAGTCACACTATCTGTCTTGCGGATTTATATACTACAACATTCGGGTATTTTCTGATATATTATGTTATCAAACACCGAGAAGCGACTTCGTTTTTAAAACCGATCGAAGTATGTGCACCCTCCACCAACCGCCCCTAGTTAAAGCAAAATCCATCATCATATCCGAAAATGATCGGGATACATCAAATCGGTCCCAAGTTTTGCTGCGTCCGAGATTTGCTGATAACTCAATATTTGATGTGAAAATAATGTGTAATTAGCTACATGCATAATGTGGACAGGTTTTCACTTAGACAATTTTGTGATCATTCGTCTTCGTTGGTATACAAATTATGTTTACACGATGATAATTTTTGCTATTTTTATTTACGCATTTCTTTCATGTTCCTTATCAATATTTCACTTTGTTTCTCCCTTTTCATTACAATGACCTTAAGACATCTTTATTGTCTGTGAGGGCTTCAGTGATGTCATCGATTGTGGAAGTGACATCATCACCATCAACTCCGCCATCTACGGCCGTACTGACCTTACGACCTGCCAGTACTGTACTAGTGATCCCTTGGTTGCAAACATATGCTTCTCGGCAACCAGCGATCAGGAGCAAATTTTGTCCTCATCATGCGATGGCCTGCATTCATGTACAGTAATAGCGACGAATGAAATTTTCGGTTATTCTTGCCCTGATACGTACAAATACTTGGCAGTTGAATACGAGTGCACCTAAGATATTCTTGTTTTTCCCTCTAGCGGCAATAGAGTACCAAAGTGTGACGTCATACTGGCTAGGTTGTCAAGGTTGCTGGTTCCAAACAATGAATTTGCCCTGCTCCAGTCCGTTGCTTGAATGATTTCGTTGTGAACCTCATGCACAGGCTCTGTTGTTTAATTAGAACATGCAGTAACCTGGACGACGAGCGAATACGACGTTAGCACCTCGGTACCGAGATATTAGGGTTGGGGTAGTTGTAAGGTATATTGTAAGTGCCGCTCTATTTTCATTAGCGAATTAGCCGGGATTTTGAAGTCACACGCACTTCCGATCAAAACGGGCCACATTGTATTGGACTCACACTTCACTAAGAATGAGAAATTGTAGTTTTGCCTAAATCTGTAATGATGTAAATTTAGTAAAAATGTAGGTCTTTGGTATCTTCAAAAAGGTGATCCTGCTATTATGGTAAATTCTTCACAATCGGTTTGGGTAAAGTAGCCACTTGTGTTGCAGCAGTGGCGGATCCAGGGGAGGGAGGGGGGGGGGGATGGATGGGTGTTGATTCAGCGCTTAATATTTTCTCACGAATTTGGAAGAACAAAAAAATTGTGCTCCTTATCCTTGTAATCTCTTGCGTGCACAGAGCAATTAGACTGATGTATTTTCTTCAATTCCAATGAGGTCCATTTAGCTCCAAACGTTTGATATGCATGGCGTTTTATCCACTTAATGAGGTATTTACATCTTATTATGTTTTAATGAACCACTGGTGTATTTGAAGGAGGTCCAATGAGGAGGGGCGGCAGTTTGCCCCATGCAGGCCTCACATATTGTTTGAAAAAATGATATAGAAACGAATAAATTTAAAGTTTAAAATAAGTGATTTGAATACGTTAAGATGGTATTATAATTTATGATGAGTTTCTTTTTTTAACCAATGTCATCATCTTTCGTACGATGTGGAGGCAGATTCCCGGAGGTTAACATTTACTTCGTGAATACGTCGGTACATGACGGTGTTGATATGGACTATTAAGCACGGCTCTGCCTATAACAATGTTGAAAATGTGATATATTATGATAGAGGAAGATATTTGAAGGGAGTATAGGGACAAAAGTGTCTTTTCATTTTTTAGTAGAAAACCTTTAGATCATCTTTTTTTAAGATTTTTGTTTTGTTTTACATAGTTGCGTCATTATGTACTTGCAAAATGAATAGATTAGTTGGACGTGAGTCAAACTGTTAAATGATTCACATTTTAAATTTATAACCACAACAGTGATTATGATAAATGGAAAGCTAAATTCTAAACCACATCGTTTTAAAGTTATCAATGGAGAAACCGTAGAAAAGGTTAAAACTATAATAATTCAAAGATGATTTTATGAATATATATCTTATAATTCAAGGTAGATGGGAACATCAAAAGAACCTTGTATATTATGTAGCGTTTATTATAAAAAAATAAAATTGAGAGAAACGTTTTGCCATTAACAAAAATATGGAGGCAATATGCGAGGTCATACATGATTGTATATACCAAAATAATACCTGCGATTTATGTCATCCTTTTTTATATTCTCTCTATTGTCTCTTGTTATTCATCTTTCTGTTTCTAGCTCTCTCTCTCTCTCTCTCTCTCTCTCTTCCTCTTTCTCTATTTCCCCACTCTCTCTCTCTCTCTCTCTCTCGCTCTATTTTCTCTCATTCTCTCTCTCTCTCTTTTCTCTCTTTCTATTACTCTCTCTTTCTTCCTCTCTCTCTCTCTCTTCCTCTCTCGCTCTTTTTTTCTCTCTTCCTTTCTCGCTCTATTTTCTCTCATTCTCTCTCTCTCTCTCTCTCTCTCTCTCTTTTCTCTCTTTCTATTACTCTCTCTCTCTCTTCTCTCTCTCTTCATCTTTCCAACTTTAACTTTCTCTTTCTCCCCTCCGCTTTTATTTCCTTTTCCTTCACTCCCAGTATACTGTCCTTAAGTTATTTTCCTTTCTTCTGACTTATTCCATTGTTCATACTGGAGTTTTAAAGCATACACTGTGTAATGTATTTAACCAATGTTTCTAGTTGGTGTTTATTAAGTTTACGAATTTACATAAATAACCTTTACATTTTAGACTTACAAATGTAATCACACTATCTCTTCGATTCAATTTTTGTTACTATTTAGTGTTTTTGTCTTCATACTTTTTCCCTCCACCGGGATTTTATTGATTTTCATTTGCAACAAATTAACGAACATATATATTCAAGGTAATTTGTATTTAAAACATGAATAAAATTGACTACTCAAGATACAAATATTTGTTGACCTGTCAAACTAACAGAAGACATGGATATTAAAAAAAATTATGATGATTCGATCATTTGTGCTAAAATTATTTTTGTATAAGCGTAAAGAAAAAAGAAAAAGAACGAAGTTTACAGAAGGAAAGGGGGTTAAATAAGTACAGAAGATGCGGGGAGAGGGAGAAAGGGAGAGAAAGAGAGATGTAGAGAGGAAAGGAAGGGGGAGACCAGAATGTGCAGATCAGAATAAAGTGGGGGAAAAGAAGACAAAGGAGATATAAGAAAAGATATGGGCTCCAAGATAACAAGCAATATAACAATAACAAAACGTTTACTTTAAAAAACCCGCACGAACTCAACACGAACACATACATTTACGTATATCCTGGTATGTAGATTACATATCAATCATTAATCGTATGCTTGCAAATGTTTTTGACGGTTTAAAAAAAATGTTTAAAAACTACATTTTTAAAGATTTTTTTTCTTCAAAACTTCAAAAAGTTGGTATGATTATGATCTTGTTCATCATTCAGAATTGTAATTAATATAAACAAACAATTCACTTTTAACTCAGTGTTCGATTGAAGTTCATTGACAAAATGTGAATGGTTCCATTGTTTTGACGATCCTCGCGAGCCCCACACATTATTTGGGTGCCTTTTACCCCCATCGGGATGGTGGGAGGGGGGGGGGGGGGTCTTAGGTAATATTAATTTGTGAATCATTGGAGCGACATATATTAACATGCCGTATTGTATATTTAAACAGTTCAAATTAAAATACACAAAACATGATAATAATCGTTAAGACGTTACGAAAGCAAAAAACATTGCAAGATCTTAGCAGTTTTAACACGGTAATTTCTGCAAATGGTTAACATTACATTATTTTATGATCACCACCATCGTCAATGGCGTTGAGCGATTATGTACAGGAAAAAGCAAATTTGGTAGATCATTTTCACAGTAAAATATTTTAAATTATTAGTCACGATAGGCCTACCTAGATACCTACTCAGGAACCAAAAAAAGATATTGATTATCAAAAACATATTAACAAAGATTGTGCTGATTTACGTGTTAGTTTAGTTTATCCTCTATTATCTCACTGTCATCCTTATCGCCCCCTCCCCCCTCAACTTTTTTCTTCTTCTACCCTTTTCCCTTTTCTCTATATTCCTCTTTGGACTTAACTTTTATCCATTAATTAAGAAACAACAAGGCATTCAAGACAAAGACACAAATGGCTACCATTATGGATGGTGTAACAACTGACATAGCACCATTGAATCCATTGTCGCTAATACCGTCATCCGGATCACAATCAAACCACCAAACCGCTGTGTCTCTTGGATATGGAGGCAAACTATCCGATACCTTGGAAAGCCATGGGTGAAGCAGGTAGTACTGAGAGCCTGCGAACATGTAGGTCCGAGAATCGCTCCATTGAAAGGCTGCGTCAATGGTGTTAGGCAGACCTCTCCACCAATCTGAAAATAACCTCGGATACGGGTTCTCGGTGTCGATGTCGAGTCCGGTCCCAGGGGCCGAGACTCGGTAGTACATGGTATCTGTTAGGGTTGAGAAGGTCATTCAATTGATTATTTAGACAATTCTCCTTTTAAATTAAGACTTTGCCAGTTTTTAAATGAAATCATATTTACATTTTAATTTACCTTTACTGAAACACATGAGCACTTTAAAAGAAATGTACGTCATAGCTGTTATGAATCTTTCAATAATTTTCTGGCTCTTAAAGTTATCAAGTGTCCGAAATAACCTAATATATAACATTGAACAATTCAATCATGTGGCGAGACGCAGTCGGTTGATCAATTTGATGCTTAAAATATTTAAGTTAAAAAAAAATATCACATAGTGTATTTCTGATAAAAGTCCTTTCCACTATAATACTACAAGTATTGTACAAGGAATCTGGCGGATGGACAAACTACCATCGCCTTGGTGATCTCGAGGGCTTTACTATCTTCCATCTCCTTCCCCTCGGGAAGATAGTCGCGCGCCCCGAGATCAGCTCTGCGACGATAGTTTGTCCCATCGCCAGAGAAATCGGTAATCGTTTGCATATTAAGTGCAGTAGTATATAGAGACTGTAGAAGTGCGATATATAAGTGGATGACATAATATCAAGGTCAGTATTGTTACTACCATCATTTTCTGTCAGATCCCTTTAATAGATTATTATGATGATAATTACTTTTCTCCTGATCAGGGAAATCATTTAAACCATAATCTGAGCCCATCTTTGTATACGATTTGAATTTACCTTTCACAAAATAAATCTTTTTATTTATATGCCAGACGAATGCAGCGGACAGGTCGCTCGGTAAATCGGGAAACTCAGATGATATACTCATCGGATATCCGGAGTCAATGGTTTGGTTGGCCAAGCGCCAGACTTCGCTGCCCTGTTCAGATAAATTATTCAGAAGATTATGATTTTAGCATGGATCTACGGCTTTAAAGGCGTTCAGGGGGCAGGGAATTTATTGCAATTTGTTTACCATTATCATGATTGAAGGAGATCTGTTTCTCAATTTCGCCATGCATCATACAATAATATTGACAATCTCAAGAATTCTTGTACCCTGAAATCGCTTATTAGAAAATATAACCCCGTAGTAGATCCTGTTTCGTTTCGTTTCGTTTATTTTATTTCAGCACGATGGAATGCTTCAGCCATAGTTATGGCGGTTCTTCAGCATGGCCGTGCATAGTTCCCGCCCCCCCCCCCCCCACTCAGTGTTAATTAGGGTACGCATAATTATGCTCGTTCCCTCTTTTTGAAAACACCCCCTATCTGAGGACTGCCAACATTTCCAAACCCCCCTTTCGCGGGCTTTTCGCAGGCTTTTCCTGGCTTGGAGACCCCTCTAAATCAGGAAAAATGCTCAATGTACCCCCTAAATTCGGAATAACTTCTCAGGAGTCCAAAGAGATGAGAGAAAAAAAAAGGAAAAACACCCCCTTTTTAAAGAAATCTCCGGGTGAAAAGTCAAATACACCCCTTTTTTTTACAATTCTCGGGCCGGACTTTGTCGCACGAAAAGTACCCCTTTACCGGACATTTTGGCAACACGCATGCGGTCATTCCGACCCCTGAGTGGGGGGGGGGGGGGGAGGGGGCCGGGGCATAGTTATATTAAAGTAATCACACTTATACAAAGAAACATATTATTAGATTATTATGGTTTACATACAAAGTTAAATAAAACATACACATACATACAAATATACATATAAGTTAGAAGGCGAGAAAAATCTAGACAAGCCCTAATTTAAAAAAGAAGACAAGAACAAAAAAGAGAAGAAAAACAAATCAGTTGTTTTGTTTGCTGAAGTCTTTTGAGAGTTTCTTTCACGAATGAAATCCAATATTTCTGACGTCATCCAGAGGGATTATTGTTTATCGTTTCTAGAGAAGCACATATTTTTCAATAATACCCATCAATTTTTCTATAAATGTATCATATGCAACAATCATATCCTTCCATTGTTGAATATCTTCCCAATTAATCTGTTTTAAATCTATCTATCGGGTATAATATGCTGTTGGCAACACCGAATTAAAATTGGAATACATTTATTTTAATTTCATACTTTTAAAAAGGATAATTGTAAGCCAAGAACTGTGACGACGACGACGACAAAAAAAAAAAAAAAAAAAAAAAAAAAAAAAAAAAAAAAATCGCTATACGTACTTTAAAGATGTACGTCTTTCCGGTAGTCTCGTAGTAGAAGGAAGCATCCGGGTCGTCGGGTAGTCCGGGAAATTCCTCTTGGATCAGTTTAGGATAGCCGTCATCGACAACGTTATCGGACATTCGATAACAATGTGTGTCTGTAAAAGTAATTAAAAAAGTAGGAATACATTGATATTAAGAAGGGTATGATGCTGGTTGAACGGTAGTTTAAAGGAAACCAAAACCTTCATACTAAGTTACTTTTATTGTAAAATTTAAAAGATTTGAATAAAATCAGTGAAAATTTGAACAAAATCGGGCAAGGAATAAGGAAGTAAGAGCTTTTTTAAATGACTAGTCACTAGAGGGCGGTATTCAATTTGATGACATCATCTGTGAACAACTCTCCATGCCTTTTGTACATAAAATTTCACAATTTTTTTGTTTTCTTCGTATTTATTTGTGTTCTTGATCCGACTTCATAACATGTGAAGTAGAATATCATTTTGCATTCTATATCTTGCTTTCGGGGGAGTACATTATCTCAATCACAAGAAAGAAGGAAAAACATGAAATTTGATGTACAAAAGGCAAGGAGAGTTGTCCACAGATGATGTCATCAAATTGAATACCGCCCTCTAGTGACTAGTCATTTCAAAAAGCTCTTACTTCCTTATTCCTTGTCCGATTTTGTTCAAATTGTCACTGATATTTTTCAAATATCTTAAACTTTACAATAAAAGTAACTTAGTATGAAGGTTTTGGTTTCCTTTAAGAACAATTTTTTGACAAGCAGGGCTGAAAAAACAAAGACTTTCGAGAAATAAATAATCTTAAGGCAATTTAAATAGCCTTGTCTATCACCTATTAAAATGTGGAAACATTACAATGACGTACGTATCACGTGATCGAATAAAATCCAAAAGATATGCGATATATCGCCTGTTACTTGCAGTTACCAACCGCTGAACACGTTGACCCACATGTTAGGGCCACTTTGATATCAATATTACATCATTTCGAAGATCATGTTTGGGCCACTTTAATAGCAATATTTACATCAATTCGAAGATCATGTTTGGGCCACTTTAATAGCAATATTACATCAAATCGAAGATCGGGAAGGGATGTCTCTCTCTCTCTCTCTCTCTCCCACCTCTCTCTATCTCCCTAACTACCTACTTATCTATTTATTTTCTTATCTATCTATCTATTTATCAATCTTTCTCTCCTTTTTTCTCTTTTTGACCTATCCCCCCCCCCCCCCCCCCCCCCCCGCAGCTACGAAACCGAATCTTACCATTGCAAAGATACTGTCGCCCGTCCTGTGTACTCGTAGCCCATGTTATGGCGACTGTACTGCAATCCACTGTGCTTGGCTGTTCGGGATCGTCAGTGTTTTCTCCTAGGTGGAAAAAAGAAGAGAGAAAAAAAACCTTTAATGGATGAGAGTGGATCTAGGATGTAATGAATGTGGGTTTTTTTTTCGGGGGGGGGGGGGGCACGAATAAAACAAATGTATACGCATGGTGAGAGGGAATCGAGAAATAAGGAAAGAAATATGTTGAAAAAGGATAGAGGGGGATATGAAGAAGAGGGTGGGAGAGAGGGAGATAGCCAGAGAGTGAGAGAAATAGAACCAGAGAAACACACACACACATACACACACACACACACACACACACACACATATATATATATATATATATAGAGAGAGAGAGAGAGAGAGAGAGAGAGAGAGAAATACTGTTTCTCTATTCATAAAATGAAATTATGAATAGAGAAACAGGAAGGATTAGTCAAATTAAGTATGATTTTTTGTCAATAACCCACTGAATTGAACACGTCTTTTTTTTTTTATTATCTTTAGATGAGAATTCAGCTTAGGCCCTAAGTCATTTAGTCCAAAGTATATCAAATTGTATAGGAATGCACAGCAAACGATGCTTATAACTTAAATGATACTTAATTGTGACACTTAAGTGATAGTCTTAAGATTAATTCGGATTGGTCACAAATCCTCCAATCAATCGCAAACTTGTACATGTATTCATGTCTTTTTAGTACACTTTTTGCATCAAGTTATGGTCAATTTGAATCATGTCAATCGAAACTCGTTTTAAGTCGCGGCACAGATAATAACACAAACATCGCAGAATTGTTTGGAGGGCTTGCGGTTCTTGCATTCATATTATACTTACTTCCCTGACTGCTAAAAAAGCATATGTATGTTTGTTGATTAACAACCAGGGGCCCGACGGGTTTAAGTTCTCTCCAAGGGACTTGGTAATGAGGAATAATGCCTTACCAAAAGGGCACTATCGCATCGACTTCGTTTCGAACCCGGGACTTCCCGGGACATACCTGTCCCTCGCTTGGAATAATTTGTGATACAGATTTATTATTATTATTTTATTTATTTATTTATTATTTTCTTTTTTAATTACTTTTATTATTATTATTATTATTATTATTATTATTATATATATATATATATATATATATATATATATATATATATATATATATATATATATTGGGGGAGGGGAGGGGAGGGGGGAGGGGGGGGGGGTCTTGAGTCCCCTTTAGAACCTCTACTAGCTTAATGATGAAGTGAATGCGTACCGTACAGAGCTTGTATGCCGGCGATGTCGTCACGATCGAGCGTAATATCGGGAATGTAACCTCGGTAGTACGGGTACATTATGGCATCATTGACATCAGAATGCTGTAGGCCCAGGCTGTGCCCGAACTCGTGAATGGCTACCTGTAAGAGGTTTGTGCCTGAGATAGGGGGGGGGGGGAGACAAAAAGAGGGTCAAGCTTGGTCCTCATTAATTTATGTCTGTCTTAGTTCGTACAAATAGAATACATCGAAGAATGAAAAGTAAAGTTTAATATAAATACTGGTCATGCATTATTATTACTCTCACCATTCATATTATTATTTTCCAAATGTGTCCCCTACAAATTCATTAGTGTTTCTACCTTCTGCGCTGCCATCCGAAAATGTCTCAGAATCATCAAAATGGGCATCGCCTGCTATGCTGACTGGGGGAGAAGTCGGATAGAACGCATGCGCAAGCGTGCCACCCGGTCCATCGAAATTATAAGTGTCGCCGTGTTCGCCCACGCCGAATGATATTTGTATATCCGCATCACTGCCGGTTTGCTCTCGAAAAGTCAGAGCAGAGGCATCGTCCCAAAACTAGCGGATATTGGGGATAAGAACAAAAGTAGACAAAATAGAGGCAAAGTTTTAGTTGGACAAACATGGATCTATTCTACCAAAGATTTCAAAAAGCACCTTTCGATAACCTTCGAGAGCTGGTGAAAATAAATTTTTATCATTTTGAATTTTATGTACACATTCTGAATGGAAGTCAGATTTCACCTAAACCATGCCCTAAGATGGGTTTAAGTGTAGCTTCTGAAACTACTGGATAAAACCTCTTTAATATTATTAATGAGTGTCATTTAGTGGGTCCCGTCGTTGATGGGATACTTATGTAGGGTAAGCTATAGTGTCCCTTTATAAAGGGACACTAGGTAAGCCAGTGCCATTGATTAGGAGAGTTTGGCCAACTACGCCGGAGCCATCTATACACAGAGCTTGGCCGAACCGCGGTTCGAGTTACTATGGCGACTACTGCTTTGTTGGGCAAGCACAACAAACAAAAGAATATACGCCATGTTGTGACCCAGTGAAACCAAGTTGACCAAACGCTGTATATAGATGGCTCTGGTTCACCCTACAAAAGTACCCCATCAACGACTGGACCCACTAAATGACAACCCTAAGTGTAACCTAAGAGGTGTTTTTTTCCAGTATAGTTTCAGACTCGAGTTTCAAAATGAGCTATTTCTACTGTTTGTGTTACCGAAATAGTATTCTCTCCAGAATTTGATACAAAATAAAAACCATCATTAATGTTGCCAATTCGAAGAAAAAATATAGCTCAACAGTAAAACCATCCAATCATTCATGTAGTGAATAAGTTTGAATTATTGTCGTAGATAGTGCCTTGAGCAGTTATGTGACATATTTTGTCAGAAAGTGAGCTATAAAAATCTATATTGTTTTCATTATTATTACTATTATTATTACAGTCAAACCTGCTTTAGTGACCACCTGCCTACAAAGACCACCTGTGTACAACAACAACAACATTTTTTGTTTCCCTTGAAAATGGTTTCTCATTAAAACATGTACTAATTAATTTAAAAGGAACCTGTCTACAAAGACCACTTTTTGTGTTTCCCTTGGGCGGTCGCTTTAGACAGGTTTGACTGTATTGTTATCAATTTTGTTTTTGTTTTTGTTATTTTTATCTAGACTTGTCTTTGTATCATACCTGAAGTGCATTTTTCATAATCCGTTTGACATGATCAGCTTCTAGGTCCGGTGTAGGCCTACTGCCATCAATACGCCATGTTAGATCGGTTTTTTCCCATCGCGAGTTGGCGAGTACGTATCGTTTTTTGCGCTTGACCTCTAACCCCTCCGGCGAGTCCGCGTCCGAGTCCGGGTCGGTTTCTGGGTTTTCAGGATCTACGTCGGGTAACCCGCATCGAGGTGTGTTCATCATGCCGAGTGTGGCAGTATCCAGATTTCCTGTATGTCGTCAACCATTGGTATGCATGGTGCGACGAGTTAGATAACGAATTAAAAATAAGGGGAAGGGAATGAGAGGTAAATGAAAATGATCGAGGAGAGGAAGAAGAAAGATATAGGATTGTATATTGGAGAAATAGGGAGGAAAGAGAGAGAGAGTGAGAGAGAGAGAGAGAGAGAGAGAAAGAGAGAGGGTTAAGAACGGGAGGCAGAAGTGGAGCAGGAAGGAAAAGAAGAAGAAATTTGTTTCCCCGAATTTATCGAAGATGTAAAGGGAGATGTCATAGTTTTGACTGATGCAATCTAAATTTTCATAACTTGTTCATATTGCTCCGATTGTCTCATTTTCGCTCGCGTGAACATTAATTGCAGCACAAACCACTGACCTCTACCTCCTACACGGATCATCGCACATTCCCATTCACTATACGTTACGTACTAAAAGGCTGTATTATTGTCTGACCCTTCATGAATATTCATGTTTTTGCTAAACTCGGCAAAATGTTTGCTTTTACTAAATGGAAAAATTACGGTGGGGGGTTGGATGAAATGGACAAAACGAAATAGGCAGAAGTGATTTATGATAATTCATGCTTTTTATGTTTCGTGTGCTCGACCTATAATCTTCAAATCGCTTGGTAAACTGAGTCCAAAGTTAGACTTGTTTCACATGTGTATTATAGGCAATGACGAGCTTGCAACCTATTTTGAAAAATTACGGTGGGTGAACTTTCAAAAGTCAATGAGACATGAGGGCTCCAATGAAAGAGCTAGTGATAACGTACGTCGGGGTGGATGTGCTTTTCGTTTAAACAAAAAATGAATTTTTAACGATTTTTTTAAAAAAAAACGTCCATAGGCTAACATGTTAGGCTGCTGAATCTGACCATGCTCTGACGATAGGGGGCGTTGTGAAATGAGACTAAACGGAGCCATATGTTGCTTATTTCCAAGCACGGTTTTACAGTATGGGTCTAGAACGTAAAAATTAAAAATAAATTGTTAAGATAATTCTGCTCCTGCGGCCTATTGTTTATTTCTCAGGAAATCTATATAATGCAGAATGCTTAAATCGACATGAAAGAAGGGGGAAAATTACAAAAAGTAGGCCTTAGAACCCAGAATATGACAAAATTGGCATTAACTAGCTGTGCAGACATCTTTATTTATATTTTATATATTAATGTCTATGAAGCAAAAGAGATAAATCGCCACAAACAAAAGTTTAAAAATTAAATTAAAAAAGGGGGTGAGGACGAATAAATATTCTCACCTGTCACGTCAATGTTTGAGAATTTCTGGAATCGTCGAAGAGATGCCTCTAGTTTATCTGGCATTCCATTTACCAAGTCCGCATCGGTGAGGTAGCCATACGCGTTGAGCAATGTCTAGTTTGGTTGGATGGAGAAGGAGGGGGGGGGGGGTGGGGCAAAATCAAAATGTTACCAATACATTTGGAAAAGTCTTTTCCAATTTTGTTCATGAAGTGATTGTGACCATGTGGTTTATTCTTGGTAGATACATTTCTGAGAAGATTTAAGCGTCATCTATCAGGAATAAACCATATTGTCACAATCAGATAATCAAAAGAAATTAAAAAGATTATCACAAAACTTTATGGGCAACAATGTATTATGAAATTTTAAAACAAATTTATACTAATATGTCAATGATATCTTTGTTCATCAACCGTAATTATTTCTAATCGAATATGATAGATAAATCTATTTAAACAAAATATATTTAGCAACATAACATTCCTGTAAAATATGCATAGAAAAAAAAGGAATATAACTTCAGAGACATAACTTCAATAAAAATTTAACTTCAGGTTATGTCATTGTTTTGAAATTAATAACGATGAAACTAATACTGTATGTCTTCCATCAGTTTTGACAAGACGAAAATGAGTAAACCACATAACTATCAAAGATAGACTCAAAAGACTATCCGATGATAAGGACATTTTAAAGCGTAAAATAGACTAGCTGGGAAGGCTCTCCATCTTATATCAATGATCTTTTTATTTTGTTGTTATTTTAAGTTCTACCAAATAAATACAACATATTTACCGTAAGCCTTCTGTATATCTACGTCATCGTGCAAGCCAATACTTATAAGCAGCATCGAACATATTTATTTTCCAATGAAAATTCATCAGGATTACAACCGTAAAAGCTGATGTTGTTATTTTAGTTTGCTGAAGACAAAGGTATTAATTATGTGCATGAAATAGTTACAATATATTTAAATCAATAGGTTTAAGAACAATCTTAGAGGCAATACAGACCATTGCTCCTGTGTTGTCAATGATTTCTTCAGCAGCCCATCCTCGCCCGATGAAACAAACGCAGAGGAGAATCAGCCCTGGAATCAACGTCGAATTCATTTTTCTTTCGCGTATTAACTATTATCACTACTTTTCGTCACTTAATCGAAGCAAAATAATCCAATCCAATCCAACAGATATTTGATATAGCGCCTTTTCCTTGCAGTTACAAAGCGCTGCACACACGCTCCACAATGTTTGTGCCACTTAAATACAGAAAGTTAGGAACTTCTCAGAGATCAGTAAAGTATATGTAGGCTGGTAATAAAGTAATTTCTAGCAGAATAGATGTGACTTGAGTAGTTTCTTGAACTAATAATAATCACATTTCCCCGAAGCTTTATATAGCAAATAAAAGCCGAAAATATAGTTTGTCATAGTATCATTAAAATTACAGGCATTCATGTCGCCTTCCGCACCCCCAAATATGGACCATATTTTGACGACGCATGCACGTAAACATAAATAAATATCTTAAACCAAACAAGGGCTTCACTTAATTATGTATCGAATATGATTGTGATGAATGGTCATCAATAAACACACTGCATATACAAGAAATTATATAAAATGGTCGTTATTTATCTAGGTTTATTGATCTAGGTTTAATCGTCATTAATCTAGGTTTAAAATGCAAGTAATTATGCTCATTAGTTTTTACGAGATATACGTCAGTCATATCATTAATTAATAGTACTGGTATGTATTGATTCTGTCATTGTTTTTGAATTACTAAGGTATGCTTGATGATAATGAGTCGAATAATATATGCAACAACTGCCCGAGTATTTTAATGATCATAGATTTGTTAATACGAATTCAAGCATCGTCCAGCAGCACAAACATTACAAAATCAAATTATTGATAGGTTGATATCATTTTGGTGCCATACTAGTCAAGATTATGTGGGTACAGTGATAGTATGGACTGATGAGATAATAAGCGACTTAATTAGATAGCATAGTCAATGACGTACTTGTGGGGGCTTGGGGCTGCAGCTTCTCCACAGTTGTCCATGCCCTAAAAAGCAGACGGAAAGAAAACAGAACGGAAATTAAATAGGAAAATGAAAAAGAAAGAAAGAAAAAATGAGAGGAAAGAAACAATATTCTTGCCACGCCTCTTTGTAAACGATTCTATTGGTTCCATCCATCTTGACGCACAGAACACGTGACATGCCCCCCCCCCCCATTTACCCCTTAGATACGTCGCAGATGTTATCGGTCCTATATATATATATATATATATATATATATATCCCTGGTTCTTAAATAACACTAGCAACAGCCCGCAAGATGATTTGATGCAGCCGCTAAAAAATTCCAAGTAAGAATAAAACAAATAACAGCTTTACTTTACAATGATATAAATATGTACACCATCACACAATATATCGTCCTCCAAGGAAAATTGTGTCATGAAGTGGCATGGCGCGGGTCCACCCATTGAGGGGGGGGGGGGGGCATTGGAAAGATTAGGAGATGGGGCGGTCTTAATCATAAAATGAAATGCGAATTTACAGGGCTACTGGTGGGGGGGGGGGGTTGGGTGGGAGGTAGTCAATGCATCTTCTTTTCTCATTCCCCATCCCCCTTTTTCATTCCTCTCTATTCTCGCCTTAAAAAAAAAACATCACTTGATCGGGGGTTATTGCTCCTAGCCCCCCCCCCCCCCCCTGTAGCTACGTCACTGATGTCTGAAGGAGTGAGGGTAACCAGATTTAGTGTGGGGAGGGGATTGTGGGGTATGTGTGCACATGGATTAAGCGGGTGTGTTTGGGTGGGTGTATGTGTATGGTGGTGTGTTGTTTGTTTGTTTGTTTTTTGTTTTTGTTTTTGTTTTTTGGGGGGGGGGGTGTTGGGTAGTAAGGAGGGAGAGGGGTTATAGTTTGTTTTATATTGTAACTGATTTCATTCATTTTTTATATTTTTAATCGTAATTTATGAATTAGACAAGAGGGGGTTGGTGGCCAGGGTACGTTAAAACGATAGAGAGTAGGAAAACAAGAATATTAAAAAAAGAAGAAGAAAACAATAGGAGTGGAAGAGAAACTTTGTAAGACAAAATGACGACATATATTGTCAGACAAAGATGATATAAACAACATAATCTTGTCACAAACACAAGTTATACTGCCTCGGTAATCAACAAATCTACACTAAACAAAACTACAGTACAATTTGTGATAAAGTTGACAATTACTTGTTTAATAGAATACACATTCCAAAATAAGTACATGTTAGCCGTTCATAATTTAATATGAAAATACAACATGTGATTCACTGAATCATGTATGCTTCAAAATAAAAAGATAACGTTGAAATAACAATATCTACCGTAATCATCAAGATGTCGTTTACTGTCATTTTTTGTTTACCCATCTCAATCCACAGTGATTATGCCCATAATTAACTAGTACTGGAAATTTATATATTACAAAGCATAGTAAGGTAAACACACAAAAAAAAGAAAATATACGCAACTTTATACGGGAGAAGAAAAAAAAATCAATAATTACCAAATCAAGATAAATGAATAGGTACAATGTATAGTACTGACTTGTAACTATAATATAAAAGAAATCATAAGTATTATACATGTCTATAGTCAAGTAAAAATAAGTTTAACATAAAATGGAATGAGCCTAGCTAATAATTTACCATCTAGTATCATGATGGAGTCCTGAAAAATTTTCTTTATAGAAAATAAATCAAACGTACAAAAAAGTAGGAAGCATGGCACGTATGGCATGAGATATTATAAATTTAGCACCACAATGATATATAAATGTTACTTTAAATTTTGTATTCAATTGATTATGAGGATAATAATCTACAATATGTTTTATCATATAATCTTTCACTTTTAAAATGTAAAGCAAATGCTTGAAATTTCTGTTCATGTATATGATTTATAGTTGTCTCTTCCTAGGTTATATGGGAGAAGGATGAAGCAAGTTTAGATACCCCATACTTGATTGAAGTGCATACATGTATTATCTAAGATTATTCAATTTGTTTTCCATCATTGTTATAATACAAAAGAAACAAATGACTACCGGTAGTAAACATTCCGTGCATTATCAAATAACTTTGTGCACTTTGTACATGCACATAAACATCATAAGAGTTAACTTTTACATGTTTCTCACAAAAAAGGCAAACTGCTCATAAACTGATATGGCAAAGACAAAATGTTAACAAATTCTTATAATATTTGTAAAAAAGTGTAGAAAATGAGATCATTCCCTTTGTTTCCATAGGCACTTGATTGTAACAGTGGTTTTATTCATCAAAATCATTCTGACTTGTGGCATTAAAAAAAATGGCTGCTGAATATAATTTATTAATACTCTGCCTAGATTGAGGCTCACAAAAATGCAAACATGTAATTTGATTTACATACATATACTGTTTGGTGCAATTTGTTAAATATTACTGATTATCTTAGCTTTGCTCAACTTTTTTTGGCCAGAATGAGGCATTTGTTATGCGTTTAGTTCAAAACACGGTTGTGTCCTTTCTCATTTTTGTAGAATCACTGAAACACGGCGATCACAATCGCCGATCGTAAACTCACAAGAAGGTGCGTTTTGGATCGGCCATTCCGGGGAAGCATAAACGCATAATCATTTGTAAACGCGTTTAACTGGGGTCAATGTAGCATGCGCAGTGCAGGTTTGCGAATCCAGCTCAGAGCCAGAATCATGCCTGGAGGAGCCAGAAAAGTGAGCATAAACAGTACACCGTGGAACTGCGATTACGATGAGCATTTCAAATCGCTCATTCTGCCTTCAAAATTGAGCATAAACGCACCCTGAGTCATGTGATGCTGTGTTTTTCAAATAATGCAAACAAAACATTTCTAGGGTTAATTCCAGTTTCATACAAAATTACACTGGTTATATTTCTTGCATATCAGTAATTGTATTAAATGGTTAATGTACTACCCATAAGTGTTACCTACATACAAATGTATATATGTATACATATATAAAAAGAAAGCATCATTTACAAGTATGCAACATCCTAGCTTGACATTTTAAACTAGGGGATGGATACAAAAGAATATACATACAAAATGACCTACCGGTGCTCCAAATATTCTTATAATGAACTGAAATGTTCATTTTACCATTAAAAACAATCCACTTATTTATTAAAAGTACATGTTACCCCTCTCCAACCTACTATATGCTACTCTATGTAAATACCTAAACCGAGAAAGACATTAATAAAACCATCCATGCACATAAATAACTTGAATAACAGCTATATGAATCATTGTTAGCATTACGTTTCTTCAATTTACGTGCAATCACTAATGCAACGTTATATGCTTACAGGAGTTTGTCATATATCTGATCATTTTTTTTTAGTCATTTGCCCTCTACATGTATTAGTATGGTCTTTTTCAAGTAAACATTATATCACTCCAGTGCTGCAAAATATGCAGGCTTAACATGAAGAACCATTTGAACAGTGTAAAACCACTATCAATACTAAAGACATAAACAGAATAATGCTGAGTTGTAAAAATCATTTTGTATTAATATGTGATGAATATATTTGCAATAATATGTGCATTATTACCAACTAAATCAAATTACAGATTACCATAGTAATATCTCTCAAAATACATTTACATGTATTTAAAAAAAAGACTGCAAATATCCACATTCTGGAGGTGGGAAATGACACATTCCTTTTTCTATCATTATATAGACCGCAATACAATCACCATTTTTATTCATACCAAATGCTATTTAACAAGTTATTAAGAAAACATTACAAAATAGACTTCTCTCTTTATTAAAATATCACAATCTCTCTCTCTCTCTCTCCATCAGTTAACAGTAATCAAAATAATGTTGCTAGTACTGATATCATCAAGGCAACATTCACCTCTGATTGCTGTTATGTCTGCTACGTGAATACAGCATTGCTGAATGCCAATTTTAACACTTTATAGTTTAAACCATAGAGGTATGAAAGTAACGGATCATGAAAATAAAAGATTATGTTTAGGATCAATAAGACTTCAGCATCCTTAAACATATTTGGCACACATCTCAAAAGAACTAGCAGGGATAATGTAATCTGATAAAATTCTGCATTTGATAACATTTTCACCAAGGATGTTCCCACACCATCAGCATATTCCATGTGAATATAATCAAGAGACAAAAATAAGAGAAATTGAAGAAAAGAATCCTGGTTGCAGCCAAATTGGCAACAGGCAATAAAGACCATGAAGACGTTTACACAAGTTTCATATTCATACTGGCTAGGATCCATAACCAGTCACATGCATGTATACTTCATTATCAATTGTCTGATGAAATGTGATTCTACATTCCCTCTTTGTTATTCCATGTAATTTCTTAAGACTTGATTTACCTATTTATTTTGTCCTAATTTTCTAATTTCCTAGGCCTAAATTTAGTTCTATATCCACGCTGCTGCTTTCTTTCAATCTACCTTGATTATATGCCCATATCATAGCATGTATGCATACACAGTTTTCATATTTATACTGGCCAAGATTTAAAAACTGCCATCTATGTGTATACATGATCAATTGTAAAATAAAATGGGTTTCTACATTCTCTCTGTGTTATTCATGGTCAAGCTAAAGTTAAATACAATTTCTTGAGACTTGAATAATCCATCTATTTTGTCCTACTTTTTTCATATTCGATCATACTGGCCAAGACTTAAAAACTGCCATCTATGTGTATACATGATTAATTGTAAAATAAAATGGGTTTCTACATTCTCTCTGTGTTATTTATGGTCAAGCTAAAGTTAAATACAATTTCTTGAGACTTGAATAATCTATCTATTTTGTCCTACTTTTCTAATTTCCTTGGCCTAAATTTGTTTTATATCCACGCTGCATGATTTCTTTAAATCTACTTTGATTATATGTAGAGGTGTCGTGGTCGAGTGGATATGTCACCGGACTGTGGATCACAAGGTCTGCAGTTCGAGTCCCACCGCTGCTCTTATGTCCTTTGGCAAGACATTAATCTACATTTGCCACACTTCACCCAGGTGAGGTAAATGAGTACCTGGTAGGATTATTCCTTGAAATGCACTGTGCTGATAAATGGCTGCCAGAGCTAAAGCTAGGATAATAATTTCCAAAAAAGGTCTTTGGAAGCGCAAAGAGACAATATAATGGGATATGTGCTATACAAGAACAGAATATTATATGATCATATCATAGCATGTTTTCAATTAATTTACAACCTCTTTGATCTTTCCTTCTAATCATACAACAGATTAGAAATCGCACAGAATTTCAAGAAACCAACTGAAGAGCAAATTCAAAACCTTATTGAATTGATGATAGAATCATGTTTTCAGATTATAAACATGTAAAATAGAATTGTCATGTTCCATATCTCAAAACGTGAAGCAAAAGGCTATTGTAATTGGATTGCATTGATTTGTTGAAAGTCTCTAACAATGTTATATCTGTAACCTTCATTTGTAACATCCATTCAATATTGGACATGTTCACCTTCATGGTAATATACTAGACCCCCAACAAATGCAATAAACAAGCTAAAATATTTTCTGCAGACACTTTTGCTTTAGAAAGTACAAGACAGAAAGAAATGAAAGAACAAAGTGAATATCTACAAGGTGAGTTACAAACAATCGTTCACTGTGCCTTGGCAACAAGCAATGCTAAATATTTTAAAAACATTCAGAAATTAAAATGCACTTTGCCAGTAAGCAGTAATTAATAGATACTTAAATACTAGACGTTTCTTTATCAAAATGTCCATGATAGGGTACATGTATTATATTATTCATATTTGAGCTATCTGTATGATTCTATTTTTGTAAATATATTTTTCTTTTTAAAACCCAGGTTTTATGTGTTTTTTTTAGTTATCGCGACACTTAACATGATTTGTGTCAATCCATGATATAAATATACTCCGTAATGTACATTTATCTTCCATAAAAAGGGGTTAATTTAATGATTGGCTGGACTACTGTGTCAGTTTTCATTTTCATTTTTAAGTCAATGTACATTAATATAGTACATTCCGCAAATCAATATTTGAATTACAAAAGGCAATTTATACATTTGCTATAGATTATGCTTTTTTGGGATCCCTCAGTCTTTTCAAACAGCTGCTATTGAAGTACTGCATTCTGATTATTTGGACTAGCACCTGTGCATCGTCATCCTAACTGTTATACAAGTCCTGAAACATGATTGGCTGAACACATGTATCTCCAGACTGCTGCAATCAAAGTACTGTATTTTGATTGGTTGGATCTGTGGCTGTTTGACTGCTGAAATCAAAGAACTGTCTTCTGATTGGCTGGATCTGTGGCTTTTTGACTGCTGCAATCAAAGTCCTGTACTCTGATTGGCTGGATCTGTGGCTTTTTGACTGCTGCAATCAAAGTCCTGTATTCTGATTGGCTGGATCTGTGGCTTTGACTGCTACAATCAATGTACTGTATTCTGATTGGCTGGATCTGTGGCTGTTTGACTGCTGCAATCAAAGTACTGTATTCTGATTGGCTGGATCTGTGGCTTTTTGACTGCTGCAATCAAAGTACTGTATTATGATTGTCTTGATTTGAGAAGAGCTCCTCATAGTCGGGAGGATTTGCAGCTTGAACGCAGGGTGTTTTCAAGACTTCTTTCCCCATTTCTGAAATCGGCATTCGCTAAGAAGACAAAAGAAAAGTTTACACTTAACTTTGGTAGTCATTTTATTAAAAGCTATGTACAAGCTTAATGGTATGGCTATACATTAACAGAGGCCTGATGAATGTGGGTCCAAAACATTTAAACTCTGACCCTCCCCCCTCCCCCTCCCTAAAAAAAAAAAAAAAACAACAACAAATAAATAAATAAGAAAGAAAATTGTAATAAATAAATAAATAAATAAGTATAATGAAATTAACCTAAACAGGGGTCAAATGCACACAAACCACTGATATTCCTATTCCTTCTACTCCTGACTTTACTCCTGACTTTACCAATTTGTTACCATTCCCCACTTCATTAACAATCAAAACTATTTCAAACCGACAATTGGCCCGTTTGTAGATACAATATGAGCATAAGTAATGAAGGTCACTTAACAAGAAAAGATAAGTGCTCCTGAATGTAGGGTACTTTAACCATTTTCAGTTCACGATCTGGAGGTGGAAATGTTTTTGTTTTAGTAGAAGTGTCATAGTCGAGTGGTTTAAGCACTTGACTTGAAATTCAAAGGTCGTGGTTCAATCCCCGTCACCGCACTAATGTCCTTTGGCAAGGCATTAATCTTCATTTGCCACACTCGACCCAGGTCAGGTAAATGGGTACCTGGCATGAATTAAATTCTTGAAATGCTGGAGCTCGGTACTGGCAGCTAGGCTAAAGCCGGAGGTAATAATCATTGCGCCTCGGAATAAAATTTCTAGATAGACGGCGCTATAGAAATGCCTATTATTATTATTATTAAAAAGGAAACAAAATCTTTCTTTGTAGCACCTTTGGGAATGATTACTCTTGCATGTAAGTGAATAAGGCGGCACAGATCCATGTTTAAAAGGTCTGTGGACTTTTTGGGTTACTTGTAACATGTGCCAACCATGTGCCTACCATGTGCCAACCATGTGCCAACCATGTGCCAACCATGTGCCAACCATGTGCCTACCATGTGCCAACTCACACACTCACCATATGAAATTGAACCAGGTCTTCCAGGGAAGCATGGTCCTTCTGGTCCTGACCGAAGAAGCTGTACATGCTACCCGACGCATCGATCAAGAAATGTTTGGCTCTTTCTTTGTCCCGAAACGAAAGGGCGTAACCCCAGATACGATTGCTAACCCTGACTAGAAAGTGACCCTCTGCTTTCGGGAATAGGAGGTACTCTGCTTGCTGACGTGTAATGATGCCTGGAGGGGGGAAATTAAATTGAGATTAGTAAAAATCATATTTAATGAAATCCTGTTCAGTGATTGGTCAACATAGGATCATGTGACCATACATAAAATTGCTATGATGTTACCGATGAGAAAAATGTGCTATACCGTGACGTCATCCATGGTATAGTGCTATTCCTGCCACCTCGATCCATAATTTCAGCTAGAGCCTCTCAGTGCATGGTATATTTGTTTAATAAGCAATATGACTCTTCCTTCAACAATTGCTCTGCCATCAATATCCTGCACTAATCAAGTCAGCTCTGAACCAAACATAATATTTAACCCTGACCCTAACCCTAAACCTGACAGAACCCCAATCACAACCCTAACCCTATATCTGTGACAATATAAGCCTGGAGCAAATGTCAGTATCAAGATATTGTCTAAAACAAGGAGTACTTGTACGTGAGGTATTTCTTAAAAGCAGATAGTCATTGTGGCTTTTAGAGCATTATTCTTGCTACAATCCATGATTGTTTTCAAACTCTCCAACTAATCTGCAGAGAGCAAGACATGTATCAACTCCTATGAAGTAATACAGAGTTTCCCTCTTCAGTTGACCATCAGATGAAGTAGAGTGACGACTCTTTGTATCACCCTGACTTGTTAAACTACGGAATGTCAAATTTACAATATTACCCATTACCAATCCTTTTTTTGGTATTCTCTGTTCCCTGCATAATTCCTATTTTTAATTATTGCTCAACCAAATCAAATGACAAAAACATATTCACAACTGGATTTTACAATTGTATATATATTTGTATTTAAATTTTCTAGATTTTCTTGCATATTTATATATTCATTGTTATTGTAGATTTATATATTGTATTTCTTTAAATTTGTCTGTATAACTGTCACTTTTCAACCATCCAGCTGCAAAGATAAATTTTTGTAAATCTTGAGTCTACATCTTCTTATCTTACCATGGAACCAGGGGGCGATTTCCTTGGTGTCTTTGAGAAGTCCTGCCTGTCTTTCACATTCTTCTTTCTGGAACCACTCCACCACTGATTTGTGGCCGGTGGGTTTGGGAGGTCTAGGGGCTTGCCTCTTCCTAAAAATGAAAAAAACAGTTACGACTGAGATGCTGCTTGTAAGTATCGGCTTGCATGGTGATGTAGATATACAGTAGGCTTGCGGGTGCTAATAAAGATAACCAACAGTCTTTTTCAAGACTACACCAACAGTCCTTTTCAGGACTACATACCCTCAAGAAAGATTACCGAGAGTCCTTTTCAGGACTCCTTAATCTTCCCTCTCACTCTCACATGGTGCACCCGCAAGCCTACTGTATAATTACGAGTGAATTATTAACAAGGACATTGACTGATTCAGAAACAGAAAGTGAGGGAAGGACTTACAACTCAAGGAATCCTATGCTGATCAAAAGAAGGAGTATTAAAGGGACTTGGTAACATTGTTAAGATGAGAGAAACTAATGATTTTATTGGTTGGTTTATTGGTTTCTGCATCTTTTTTTTTCTTTTTACATCATACATTTTCATGAACATAATATGGTTTGATACAATATTTTAAGTGTATATAATTTTATACAGATAATGAACGAATTTAAACAAATATATTGAATGCATAATTAACATACATTAGATGCAGGAGGGCTACAGAAATAAGCAAAGTAGCTTGACGTGCCCGCAGCCCTCAACTTAGATACAACAACAATAACAAATACAAATAGAAAAGACTGACTTGCAGAGAAGAAAAGGAAAGGGGAGAGAAGGAGCGTTGGTAATAACACAATAAATCTCGTACATCTGCTGATTGAATGCAGGTTCATTCATAAAATGGCTAAACAATGCTAGGTCATGGACGAGAGAACTATAAATATATCTGTTGTTTGAGAATTTTTAAAGGATTTTTGCATGTTAGAGGGTTAGAAGGAATATAATAAGTAACATTTCATACCAAGATTATGCATTTTTTCATGAACCTTAACAATGTTACAGAGTCACTTTAAGACTTATTAGAGGCTCATAGTAGTGGGTTTTTATGTCGAATTTGACACCATTCAGGTGTTTACCTAATAACAGGTGTTGTCATTCACAAAGAGTGGACTTCTCTTTTACAACAGATAGGTTTTGTGTTTACAATGCACTGTGCCCTAGCCTACCGCCATTAGGAATTCACATCATTATATTGAATTTCCCTCATACTTGAGATATAATGGCAAGTTGGAGTATTTTCTGGTGGGACAACAGGTTTGCTGCTTGAGAGACCTGTACACACACATACCCATTAATTGGTATCTCAACCAAATCTGGTATCAGCAAATTACGATACAGGACACATGGACACTGATTGCTATGTGGCTTTAAGAACATTGTATTCACCAGCATTTTAATAGCTTGATCATACTTTATTAAGTGTACCAGTAACATACAATAGAGCCACTATGTTTAAGGATCTTTTATGATGGTGTCTTCATACCATCCTGCAATTCCCCTCTCTCTGCATCCCATAAGCACTCACCTTAGAGGAAGGGATGGTTTCTCTTCCTCGAGGGGTTTCTCTGGCGGAACGATCCTCTTGTCCATAACAATCAATTCCTCTTGAATGGTGAGATGGGTGAGGTCTTTGCTCAGGATCCGTGACCTTCTGACCTCTTCCCTGGCTATCTTCGCCCGGTGGCTCCTGTCCTTGTCCGCCCTCTTGGATTCTCTTACTGGATATATGATAGAGCAAGATAATAATAATAATAATAATAATAATAATATTTACCTTGTATATAGCGCTTAATACAATGTCTCTAAATATACTATTACCATATCATAGTTATCAGATGAACTTTACAAAGAAAAGGATGAAGAAAGTTGCTACCCATTTACATATCAGTCATTAAAAAAAAGTTACAAAACTCTTGTGTTAACTTTCATGCAGCAAATAATGAAGCCCATCAAAAACTCTAATTACTATGAAGTACAGTTGTCTGAAATTGTTCTCCTTCGGTATTCTTTTATACCTTAGTCACGTTGCCCGACTGACCGATTCTCGACCACAGGAGGTAATGTGATTGTTCGCTATGTCCGTTGCAGGTCTGCCGTGTGTCTCATTAGTACAACTGGGGTATTAGCAGCATTGCTACTTACGTTGGACTTGGAATATTTTATCAGCCTTATCTCTCTCCTTCATGGATGCTTTCTTCTGTTCCTCTCGTATCTGCTTGAGGCTCATGTAGAGCTCCTCTCTCCTCGCCTCCTCATCCTTGCGCAGCTGCTCTTCTTGTTCCCTCTGCTCCTTCTGTTTCTGTTCCTGGATAGAGCAGAAATAATGAAAATGTAGAGTAGTCCCAGATGAGTGGTTCATACACTTGAGGTTCAAAGGTCATTGGTTTGTGCCCCAGCATGGCATTAATAGGGACTTTTAGATTTGCACAACAACAACGTGGATTGCTACGATCGACGTCCTTTTAATGCACTGCTTTGAATGGACGTCACACGTATCAGTCCATGCAAATCTAAAAGTCCCTAATGTCCTTTGGCAAGAACTCATTATATATTTGCCACTCTCCACCCAGGTGTTAGATGGGTACTTGGTAGGAAGCAATTCCTTAAAGGGATCCGGTAACTTTGTCTCAGATTCTGAAACAAAATTCTGGATTTAGCTCATGATGCAATGATAATTATAAACCTTTAGGTCAGTCAGGAACCCCATGACTTTTACAAGCCGATCGCCTGTCTGATTATCAAGATATTTATGATTGGAATTATAAATTTTGAAAACCATTCGCCCGACGGTTTTCATAACACTACAGTCTATTGGGGAAAACGAGTATGGTAAAACCGGTCACTCAATGATTTTTACTTTTTTGAGGCACTTCTTGATCATTTTGAAGCGCAATTTTTTTAGGGCTTCAATATTACACCATATCACAGACACTGATAACACGTAGAACCGTGTATATCAGATTTAACATTGTTAAACGATCCTTTTAAATACTGTGGACACTGGTATCTTTAGCATACACATAGCTAAAGACATGAGTGCCGTGAGCACAAGGTTGATATGAGCACTATAGGTGTATCTAATATCATAACAAAGAAGCTATTCAAGTCAGAAACATATTTCATGCCACTAAGTTTGGGGTATAGATAAAAAAACAACATCAGTATTAAGATGTATCCAAGAAACTAGCACATGAAAGGAAGCTCAGCTGGGGTTTATGGACAATACATGTACATGTATGTGTGAAAATGAATCAACTTTAATTCAAAGGCTTAGGAAGACTGGCTAGCAGACTCTAAGCAAGGAATTTTTAAGCCTGGTACTGGCTGCCAGTGAATAAATGTAAGTTATTAAAACCTAATTTTCTTACCATCTATTGGAAAAATAAGTAGGTAAATACATAAACGAATGAAAATTGTTATTAATATTGGGAATCACAAAAATTCTTTGAACATTTAATTTGTCTTACCCTTTCCCTTTTGAGTTGCTCCTTCTTTTCTTTAAGCTCCTGATCTTTCTTCTTCTTCTCTGCCTCCTCCTTGGCCATCTTCGCCTGCTGCTGGCGAAGCTCCTTCATCGAAGCATACGCCTCCGCTTCTGCTTTCTTCCTTTCTCTCTCCAGTTTTTCCTCTTCCTTCTTAAGTCTCTCCTCTTCTTCTTTCAGTTTCTTCTGTCTCTCCTCTCCTTCTTTCTCTTTCCCCTTCATTTTCAGTTCTTGCTTTTTCCTGATAAGAAGGAAGAAGTTGTATCATTAATATCAATTGACTGCAACTGTTTGAATTACTTTTGCTTGATCTGCAATCTTTTATAAACAAAATCAAACTTTTTGAAAGAAACATAATCTGATTCTCTTTACTTACATGTATATTTTACTCTAGCGTATAATTAATATTACTAAATATTGTTTAAACTCATATATTTACAAAAATTTACATGTAAGCTTAGACCTGAGCAAGTAATTTAGCTTTCATTGAATAAAGTAGGCAGAAGTAGCAGGGGAAAAAATATTATAATCATTTTGGGGGCTACTTTTCAAGCTTGCTTGCATGAAAATAACAATCTTTAATCGTCTTGCATTGAACTCTCTGCAAATTTTAGGGGGCTCTTTCATGACTTTCGGGGGCACTTTGGGGGCTATTTTGCCCTGAGCCCCTGTGTATTTTTCCCCCTGAGAAGTAGGTTGAACTTTGCAAGCAGGATTTATCTTAGAAACAAAGAGAATCATTACAAAAGTACCTACAAATACATGTAAAAGTATATATGTAGTAATTATTAAAAAATGAAATTATGTCAAATAAAATTTCAGGCTTTGTATAAGCACTTTCCTAAACTTAGCTTTTGACAAGAAGGTATTTACAAATGATCTTATTTGCCACAATCAAACACATAGTTTACGATTGACAGAAAGAGATTTCCTAAAAGGCATGAAATGCAAACAAAGAGAACAGTTGCTCAGCTATAAAACAAAACAAAAGAAATAGCTTTTATATTTTAGCTTTTATATTTGGGCATTAACAATGCAAATTGGGCAAATGAAGACACATAGCAATTAAACTATATTTGCTTAATACATGTACTCTACAGTAAATGATGAAAACAAGTAATGAATCCAAACTTTAAATGTGCAATGGTAAAATTGTGTAATCTGCATTCTTCTACATGACTAAAAACAAGTTCATGCAATGATAAATGATAAAGGTCATGCAAATGTTTACAAAGCTTTAGAAACCAAAAATTGTAATTTCATGTGTCAAAGCTGTTTACAAAAGCAGGGACATCAACAATAAGATGATATACACAAATGAATCATTTCCTCATGCCAAATCAACAATAAAAACAATGAAAATAATAATGTTGGTTTCTAAAATCATGATTTGCTTTGCCTTAACCATACTACATGTATCTACAATGTAATGAAATCATGTAGTGCGCACAAGGTCCATATTTCATCTCTTCAATTTTCTCAACAGGACACCTTTTTATCCAACCTACGGTAAACATATCAAAAATTTATTGTGATTCTTTGGGAACTATATCTAAAAGTAGATGTTAATTAATTGTAACAAAATTGCATTTACTGCATCTGACTAACAAATAAAAATCATCATTCTACAAACAAAGTAGCAATACGTAATTTGACACATCACCTTTAATAGATAGTAGTTTACGAGGGGGGGGGGGAGGTGGGGGCTTGCAAAGAGCCTGGTATCAAAGTAAACTGAATTTTGAAAGTAAATATCATGACAGACTGCTATTCTACTAGATGGCAAACACTTATCCTGCAAAAATTCACCTGAATACATATGTGCACGAGTGAGACAAGGAAGTTTGCCAATAAAAGTTTGTCCCACTCTTGGCAGAGGCTGCCATTTAAACAAGATTCAAACAAAAAATGTTAACAAATAAAAACTCCAAGATACATGTAGTTTGTACAGTGTAAGTTATAGATAACAGGAAACTGTACATGTACTGTGTACATGTATTTCAATATGATTTCAGCTAAATTATACATGTACAGGTTGGCTGTAAAGCAACAGGGCATGAAATGAACAAGATTATCATAACAAAAGTCACAATTCAATGCTGCTTTGGTTGACCGAGAATTGCATTTATTTCTATTTTTTGTCCATGTTACTATGGTAGTGAGCAAACACAAATAAAACTTGAAATATGGCAATGACCACAAACCAAAAAAAGACGGATGCAAATACTAATCAATGAAAATGCAAAATAATACAATCATGCATTGAAGATGCCGTGGCAGTCCAAAATATTTGACCTTGCGGTCTAGAGCAAGTATGATTTTCCTACATGGTATCAGTGCTTTCCTGGTTGCAGACTGGAGTCTTTCCAGGGGTGGTCTCTGGTTTTTCATCACTGAAAATAAAGCTATAACAATGTAAACAACAATCTAGTACATTTAAAGGCATTGATTAATAATGTTTCCAGTTTTACAAACCTGAGATACATGGCCCTCAGGTTATCAGTGTATGTGATATGGTGTATTATATTGAAGCCCTAAAAAAATTGCGCCTCAAAAAAAGTAAAAATCTTTGAGTGACCGGTTTTACTATACCTATTTTCCCCAATAGACTGTAGTGTAATAAAATCTGTTGGGAAAACAGTTGTTGAAATTTCTAATTCCATTCATAAACATCTTGATAATCAGACAGGCGCTCGGCCTGTAAAATTCATGGGATTCCTGACTGACCTAAAGGTTTATAATTATGATTGCAGCATGAGCTAAATCCAGGATTTTTTTAAAGAATCTGAGGCAAAGATACCCAATCCCTTAATAAGGTGATCTATGGCAATCCACAAATTCTTCACTTTACATTACAATCATTCTTAGCAATAGACGTGATTACTAATATGTATTTAAATTCATGCATGTTTCTCTCCAGAAACCTTGGTTACAAACTACTTGATTCAACTCCTAATAAATGGAATCTCTATAGATGGAATACACTTTGCATGGATAGGATGTTGATATGTCAAACAAGCCTCTGGCAAGCTTAATAGTGACTAAAAGAGTATGCATGAAATTGGTTAAAAGGTCGATTCATGTCATGCAAAGTGAAATGTCTCTGGCACTTTGATTCACCCAAAAAATACACTTGCCTATTTAATAAAAAATTACAATAACTTGGGCAATTTCAAGTGGCATTGTGCTGCAAATTGTCTTCCCTATTTCCCATGCCTTACACTTTAAGTTCACAACGGAAATAAATATTATAAGTACTTTCAGCAAACAATAAACATACAATGTGCACTTTGCAGGGGGAATGAGATCTGTACATGTATATAATATATATCTGTAGAGTGTTGATGGCACTGACCGATATATTCATGTAGACATAGCCTTAGAGCTATATCTACAGTGCAAATATGCAAATAAATGAGTGCAAATATGTGTACATGTCATGATGATTACGGAAATAAGAGAATGATGATTTTAATAGACTGTGATTTTTATCAGAATAAAACTTGCAATAAAAGAGGAGCTATTTCCTCAAGTTCTTCTACATGTTCAGTATGTTAATAACATATCAAGTCATGTACATGTGCAAGTACAGAGAAACTTCCCCTTTTTATTGACCATCAAAACTGAATGCAATGGTAATTTATGTGCTATTTTAGAAATTTGAGAACTATATAGAGCAATTGATTTTTTTCACTTTTCTGTGATGGACTATTTTAGGAGACAGGATGGGCATTGTGATACAATAATGTCACATGTGATTGCACATGTAGGTCATTTTCATGCTATAATTTTAACCTACATAATGTCAACAGCTGTGTAATACATTTCAGAAAATGTTCCAAGCAGCAAATACTAACCCGCTTGTAAACTTTTTTTTCTTCTAAAGGGGTTCTATGGTTCTTACATATGATTTACCAATTTATATTTTCATGAGGCTGATCATCCAATTAATTAGTTCTACAGCTTACATGTATGGCTTGTGTACATAGAATTATAGCAATATAACAAATAAAAAAATCAGATAACTCTTATTGCAGGTGATAAAATCTAGATTCGTGATATTTCTGAATGAAATGTAAACATAATGAAATGGTATTCACAGTTTCCATGACCACAAAATGTTTTTTTCACAAAAACTTACATGTAGTATCGAAATTTTGTATGAATAAAAAACACTTAAAAAGTCATTTAAGAATTACATGTACATTGTATGAGCTATCTGCTACAGGTCTACAATGTAGATATTCATTGTACACACTAGGCCTGTCTTCATTAGGTCGAGTTTGCCAAATAACCCGCTATTTTCAGACTCGGGATGTTATCCCGAAAGCTCGAAATTGCGTCCTCACCAGACTGATACTCTCATTACAAACTACAAGTACCGGGTAGCTTGGACGGGCGGGAGCAAATTAACCCGCTATTTCCCAAATAACGGGATATTTTGGAAACAAAATATCCTGCTAATTGCAACTGTGGGCTAATTAAGACGCAAATTAACTGGCTAATTTGGGATCGGGATAGTGAAGAATAGCGGGTTATTTGGCAAACTCGAGCTGACTCAAGCTGATGAGAACAGGCCTAATATGCATGCGTTGAGGGTGATACTCCATACAGTTAGCAACTATATTAATCATACCCTTACTATCCTGATTCATGTTTCTTGAGAATGTGACAAATCAAAGCTTACATCTAAAAGTATTCAACAAAGGCCCGTAATTCAACCAATCCGCCTTTCATTCTTGATTCACGAAAGCACACACACAAACAAATCTAATTTACAAGGGGTATGAATAATTTAGTTGTTACAATGTATGCAAGAAATTTAAAAGGTAAGAAAAGTGCTACTTTTGCACAATAAACGTACAAACGGGTTGTAAATTTCAGGGCTACACTGTACATTGGACAAGCATGAGAATAGTATTCTAAAGACATACTTGTGCATGACGGACATACAATGTAAATGTGGACAAGGAGGTAATGATTGAGATTGAGAATGCAGTCTTATGCTCATGTGTGAAGCCTCATTCAAATGTGATGCGACAGAACTGTGACGGTTTTTGAAATGATGATGTGAAGTATAATACCCGTCACATTCTGTATCTTAGAACTCAGTGAATATGTGCTTGACATTTGTTGCGTGCAGTTCCCGTTCATTTACACATGAAAAAGAGAATGTCAGGTTTTTGGTGAGGTATTCAAGTCCCAGTGTTCAGATTTAGTCAGTGGTGGTTTTAAGTTCTGGTGTTAGTGTTGAAACCAGGTGTTGGTATTGGTAAGGAAAATACATGTACTTGTTTGAACATGTAAAACCAAAACATTCAAAACTTTTTATGTGAAAGAATCGTGAGTTTTATGCTTGCGAAACGATAACCTACGTAGCAACCCTAAATGTATCTTACTGTGAAAATAGGTATTTTACTGCATTACACTTAACAAAAGTTTTTGGTTTCATTGTATTATATTGAGAGCACTGTATCACTATCACTGAGAACACTTCAAAAAAAGCTCTAATCCTAAATAGAAAACTTATGAAAAAACTTTCTGCATGTAAACAAGTGGATCATAATTCTTTCATATACCGTAAAGAACAATAGTTTATATCGTGATTATATTTAGCAAGTTCTTAATATGACACCCTATCAACATAAACAATATATCTTTGGAGAATAAATAAGATCATAATAAATAATCTACTACAAAACATCAGCATGGTCAGCCGCTCCCTAGATAATGTTACGAGTTGCTACTTTTTGTTTGACAGATCAAGAGTGAAATAAAAATCCATAAATCATTCATCACATTTTCCTTTAATTCTTAATTTTCTGCATTTATTTAATGCAAAATTTCAAATCCCTTTCAAGGAAGGATATTTAGGATATTCAAGGTTTTGATTTCCTTATTTGGCACAAGTAGCATACATGCATGCACTTCCTCTTTATAAAGACAAGGGTTCCATTTGATCACATTAATGAATACAACATACATGTACATACATCTGTGTATGAGAAGACTGAGGAAACGATTGGTGTTCTATTTTGTTTTCATTCTAGTTAGTATCTTCATTCTTCATGACTACGCGTACATGCTGGCCTTTTTCTGACTCTTAGTGTTTACTGTACACCGTTTATTTAATAATGCACATGCTTTTCCTCTTCCAAAATGTTCCATTGTTTAATCGCATCACAGAATTCTTTGTTATGTGAGTTTGCAGGCCCCCTACTTTTAAAAAGCTAAAAAAAAGTAAGGAACAGTGGAAATGGTTGTTCAAAACCCTGTTTACCTTCCAGGATCTATCTACATGTAGATTATTTTATTCCATGTGTAATGCGAGGATAGGTATCTAATGCTTTATCATAATACAGACCCAAATGCATTTGATATATGTATCTGTCAATACCAACACTGATACTTAACACCCCATTGACACCAAACACCAAGCTTGAAATCCCTAATGTTTGTTGTGTCTTGATGTATACTTACTCTCCCTCTAGCCTGAGAAACGTAACATAAAGAAGAGTAAGAAATAATAGGGTTTTAATTCAACCCTTGCAGGGCATGGATATTAAGGGTTAAATTAACCACATGTTGTTCTTCAAATTGGCAACAATAATATCTTTCTTTTAACGCTACATTAGTTCTTTAATATAAAATTGAATTTTTAAACACTCTACATACATGTACAAGGGTTCAAGGTTTGTCAACAAATTTATAAAAAACTGTCAGTTCTGATAGAAAAATAATGATTTTGAACCTCTAAACATGTAGCCAATTTATGGATATAACAGCTTTTTTTTTCCTCTTTAAAGGTAAAGACCAGTTATGGTCATGCGATTGCATTGTGAAAGAAACGTTGTGGAATCGATCAGAAAAGGTTGATCATCTAGCATCTAGCATCTGCAAGGTTCTGGAATCATCAAAATTATAAGAAATTTGGCCCATTCTTCGTAAAGTTACAAGCACTATACACAAAAAGATGTATATGGGACTACCCTATATCTCTCACAAACCATGAGAGAAACACATTTACCAAATATATGAATTAGTAGGCGGTTTCCCGGCAAATTTTTAATCATCATGTATTAGTCAAAACATATTCTTTCACATGATTGGTAATGAGAGCTTCCATTTCATTTTTTGAAATTGGGGCGTTTCCAATACTGGTCTTTACCTTTAAAATTCATAAAATCATATATGCACTGTGGTCATACAACAGATATGGACATAGTGTGAGCAGAAATGATTGCCTATTCTACTTTATGAACCGATAAAGGCTCTAAATCAAATGTTATTGAGCCAAACCACAAAATAGGGAATGATCGTCTCAAAATGGTTTAGGAATACATGAGCTGTGCACCAACAGTCCAAAGTCTAATCACCAAGCTAATGTATCTTTCATCGTTCTTCATCAAAACTTTTTGTTAAATCGATTCAGGGTGATTGCCAACATTTTTTGGCTGAATAGCAAGTTTGGCCCAATGTCATGTGATTCCTGGTAATAGCTGATTCGTCAGGAGAAGACAACGCAAAATTTATGCAGACTCTTTGTCTATTATTGTTGTACTACGATATACTATATTTCATAAGCAACACTATGACATTTGATATATTTTTTTTTAAATAATGCTTTCTTTTACCTCTTTTCCTGTGCCTCCTTCTCTGCAAGTAACCTGGCTTTCTCCTTGTTCTCTCTCTCCAAAATCTGTTCTATTGTTCGGTCATTTTTATGGTGTCCCATCACCCAAACCCATTCGCATCCATCGCGACCTTGAAGCCAAACTACCTTCTTATTGCCTGCAAAATATAAATGAGAGGGAAACTAAAGAGATGTATTGAATCTTTACTCCTTGCTTTAATACTCCTCTCTCTCTCTCCTTCTCTCTTTTTTCACCTTCCTCAAAGGATCTCTTCTGCTGTTAAATCATCTTTATGGTGATCCATTTGCATCCATTTAATAATGGTTATAATTAGTGTTATAATAATATCAAATATCACATTTGATATACTATGATGATGATATTGAGGATTATAATGCCCATATGACAATCAGACAGGCAATCAGCTTGTAAAAGTCATAGGATTCCTGACTGATCTAAAGGTTTATAATCATGATTGCAGCATGAGCTAAATCCAGGATCTTGTTTCAGAATCTGAGGCAATGTTACCGAGCCACTTTAAGGAATTCCGCTTGTTCTCAACTGAAAGCACCTACCTTTCTTTGGTACTTTCTTCGGTGGGGTCTTTTTCTCTTCCTCTTCCCGATTCTTGTATCTCCGTACTTGCTCCTCTCTCATCTTCACATAGAGTAGCTCCTTCTGGTGCTCCGATAACTCCGCCAGGAGCTCCGGGTCGATGTACATATCCTTCAGTATCTGTTGCAGCATGATTGTTTATGGGTGGGACTACTTATATGCTACAAATTCTGCAAATGAGAACAAAAAAAGAGCATTATACATAGCTTTAATAGCTTACATATTATATGATTGATACAAGTCAAGATCTCTGCCTGTAAAGTATTAAAAAAAGAGGATGTATAGTGAGGATTGTACATGTAGGTAGACACGTAACTCCTTCATTACCTTCAATATCTTTCGTACAAAGACTAGGTAAACGTAAAATCGATGCATTCAAAATGTACAGGGCCTACGTGTACATATCCTTCAGTATATGTTGCAGCATGATTGTTTATGGCTGGGACTACTTACTTATATGCAAACATAAATCTCCAAATGAGAAGAAAGAGCATTATACATTGTAATGTAGCTTTCGGCGGTCTCGCCTACATAACGCAATTCAATATGATAAACCAGAACGTCAATGACGTAGCGCTCATCTGCATCTCGCAACAACAAATATCGTAAATTTTATGTGGTACACTTTTGAACTGGTCAAAAAATAAAAATTTGATGCCCTGGAAGGGACATAATTTCATAACTAATCAATGGAGCAAAATCTCACAATTCTGTGTAGAAGTTTAGTGTTCCAAATTTAGCTCTACCAGATAAGGCAAACCAAATCAAAATCGGTCAAGAAATGAGGGAAAAGAAGCAATTTTTGTTATTTTTGGAATAAATTTGCATAAATTACCATAATTAATTAATGGAGAACAATTTCAAAACTCTGTGTAGAATTTTAGTGTACCAAAGTTAGCTCTACGATATAAAGCAAACCAAATCAAAATCGGTCGAGAAATGAAGGAGAAGAAGTCTTTTTTGTGATTTCGAATAAATTTGCATAAATTAGCATAGATAATGAATTTCTCGATTCTGAGTAGAAATTTTAAATCCCCCTCCTAGCCCTATCATATGAAACAATCAGAATCAAAATTGGTTGAAAAATAACGAAGAAGAAGCATTTTGAAAATCTTGATGTTGATGCCACAACAAAGTCTAAGTTTGTTGACCTTAAATGACCTTTGACCTTAACTTAGTGACCTGAAATTCTACTCACATGATTGGGGAGACTTGATAACCCTATAGTCCAAGTTTCATTGACTAAGAACTTATACTTTCAAAATTATATAAAAAATTCAGATGATGCTACAACATAGTCCAAGTCTGTTGACCTGAAATGACCTTTGACCTTGATTTTGTGATCTGAAATTCTATTCACATGATTGGGGATACTTGATTACCCTATAGTCAAAGTTTCATTGACTAAGAACTTATACTTTAAAAATTATATCAAAAATTCAAAAACTTAACCTTAGGTTAAGTTTTTGATGTTGACGCCGCCGTCGCCGCCGCCGCCGTCGCCGTCACTGGAAAAGCGGCGCCTTTGTCTCGCTTTTTGCTACGCAGGCGAGACAAAAAAGGTATGTTGTGACTGACAGCAAAATGTCAAACAAATGCTGAATGAGATCTAGTTACATTTACGTAAACCTGATAATAATCAAATGAGTAATTCCCTGAAAACCTGAGTGTACACGAACACTGTAGCTGATAAAATCTCCATCAAAATACCTGATCGCTTGCACTGTGTTTGCTTAAATCTAAGGTGTGTTAAGCATATGCCGGTAAGTGAGTTGTCATTGTCTGAGTGCTTAAAGATAAGCTTGTGTTCTGGCAATGATGGAAAATAATTTCTCACAGAACCCAACAAAACTTACAATTGAACGTTCAAGATTAAAAACAAATGACATACTGTATTTATATGCCACACAATTTTGGTAGAAAATGTAAAGGGGTTGAGTAATGAGCATAGAAAGATAAGGAAATCACAGTGCATGTAAGTATAGGCCCGACACCATGTGCTTGAAGGTATTAAAAAGTTTTGGTATTGGGTCATGAATTTGGTTCAAATGAACATATTAGAAGCGTATGCGATTTTACAATATTCAATGATCGTTGTCGCGGTTGAAATCGGGTCTAAAGTGATGATATTGTAAATAATAAACTCTTTATGTTGTATAGCACCCTCTCAAAACTGATATGTCTTTAGCTTTAAAACAATGTTTTTTTTACTACAATCGACCGATTTGCTATTACTTTTCTGGAAATTATATATCATTTAAAATATTTTAAATTTACCGGGAGCACCGGTAAATTTTTGATTATTCAATTTCTCAAAAGCAAAAGGGTTTTAGGTGCTAAATTTTCTAGTGCTTATAATACATCCACAGGGGCATCTAAATATATTAAAATTGTAAAGAATTAATACTATCAATCCAATTTTCAAAATTTCCTAATACTTTGCATTACCTTTTAAATGAGTACGGTAACTATAAGTGCGAATGAGAGTTGTGGTTTTTATTGAAGATGATTTCCAGCAAGTTTTTGTAAGGTTGTTTATATTTTACTGGTTCAAACAAACCATCTACTGCAGGATATTATACAAATACAATCCAGAATGAATTATAGCCATGTTCTCTCAACATACTATGCTCATGGCTCATACTCTGTAGTCTGTACCAGAGCTCACGATTCAGGATTAAATATTGGACCTTGATCTTGGCAAACAATTTATTCTTACCGGTAAGTGTTTATTTCATTCAGAGTATAAATGAACTAAACCCAATTCTATTTTATCTTTAGAAATGATAGTATTTAGCACTCTTGGGTGGGACCAACCTTCCATGATAGGTGGGACTGTGTTGTGAATTCACTGGTATAGGGTACATACTGTACAGGGGCAGATCCAGCCGGTGGTAAGGGGGGGGGGGGGCCATTCGTAAGAAAATATTAAGCGCCGTTCTGCACTTGCACTGACAGGGTGAGTCTGTGGGGGGATGTGCCCCCACAGCAAAAAAATTCCAGCAAAAAATTTTCCAGCAAAAAATTATGATAAGCCTTCGATTTATAGGAGGAAAAGACTGTAAACACAAGAAGCGGAACTACATGTATGTGTGCAATCCGCATGGATATGGTACGCCGGTGTAACAAAAAGTCTTTAGGACACTGGTATTCATGACACCAGTACCTGGAGTGTACATGTAAGTGTTTAATATTGATACATAAAACTTAACACAGTAATGATTGACATTTAGTAAAGATCAATAGTCCACAGAGTATAACGTTTATCCTTTTTATTTCCTTTCTAAACAAGATCTTCAAATGCAACAATGTTGACAACCATACTGTAAACGCTATTGGAAAGGATAAGGGGACACATGGCACTTAGTTATTACAGAGTTAAAGGGGGTACCTCTCAAATTTGAAAAAGCAGCCAACATCAGGTTATGAATACATATGTATGTCATGTATGTCCTATCTGTGAAATTTAAACGTTAGCAGTGTCCTAATATTCAAATTATGGAAGAAAAACCTGTTTACTTGCTAGACTTCACTGTCAGACAGTATTGAGTGACTGACATAAGTATTGGTGTGTATATACTGCAAAGTTCTGGAGTAATCAAAATCATAATAAATTTGGCCCAGTCTTGGCAAAATTGTTGCATTGTAATCGTTTACCGATTATATTTTAATTTTTTTTACAAATCTATCCAATCTACGTGACACTAATAATGTGCATGAGACTAAATTTGTTCTGTATAATTTGCATATTATGCGCAGATTGAAAAAAAAAAAAAAATTTGACCGACAGTTTGTTTTCTGCGCACCTGTTCAACTAAATGGAGTGTTTTTACCCAGATTCTGGCAATAAAAGTGTGTAATTTTCTGAACAAATTAGGCTTTAACGAGGGGCAGACTGCCGGCCCCCGCCCCCTCCCCCTATATGTACTGTAGGCTAGTGATACCAATCATTAACAAAAACATTGTGGCATGGTTTAATATGGAACTCACATTTTCTGCTTATGAATAATTAATACATGACTAGACTAGTACTATCATAGTCTAGGCCTACAAATCCTGAAAATTGACGTTTGATCAGGTTACTGTCTGTAGCTAATTTGTAGTAGATCTAGACCTAGACCGAAAACTTCAGTCTCTCTAATCGTCGGTTGTTCCACTGAGACTACGTCTGGCTCCACTAGACCTCCGATTATAGAGACTGAAGTATGGCCTATCGGGACTGTACGGGACTGTACGAAACAAATGGTTCGGTTCGACCGGACCGCGATGAATGAGATATGCAACGAGATTTTCACTCTTTACATCCTCATAACTGCTGCAATTATAATAAAAATTAAAAATAACATATATAGCTTATTTGACTTACGATAGCTTGCTCATTTAGATCCTAAATTAATGATTAATCCGAGAAAGTCTCGTCGTCAACATTATCCGTCTTGGTTTTAGTTGATGAATATTCATTTTTTCTTTTCAAACGTCCAATAGATACCGTAGCTACGTACGAGTCAGCCCAGCTTGACCAACGAACTCTCACGAAACGAGTGCTCTGATTGGCCATTTGGCTATGTTTTGGTAGGTTGACCCGGAAATATTTTGGCCGCCGGGTCATATAGCCCTATGTTCAAGTGCATGAACGTACTGTTTCACAGTTCGGAGATACAAATTGGATAATTCATATAAGTAAGTCCGTAAATTATACATTTAATATTAAGTTATCAAATTTTGATAACTGTAATTAGGACAAATGATATACCGACCTAATTTATATCTGATTTAGAAATCAGAAAATTAGATCTAGAGTCTAGATCTACATGTAAATAAAGAAAATCGGGGAGAAAATGTTTTGACAAAAAAGCTGTACATTGTTGGCTATAGCTACCCCCACGGTACGAGATCTCTGGGTTACCATCTGTATTGGGGAATGTCAACAAATGTCAGTTTTATTAAAGAAATGACCCAAATCAGATGGTTATTTCTGTCTAATCTAAAGTTACTAAACCCTATACTAGATCTATAGACTATTGACCATTTTCCTTTTGGCTCAATCATGTATGTGGTAAGAAATATATTACATTTCTAATTTTCTACATCATGTGATTGATCTTGATCACCGTTTTAAGACCATTAATGTCGTCCAAATAATTCATGGAGATGACGGATCATGGAAATATGGCATCACAACAGCAGCTGATTATAGCGCGTGCTCACACATGCCCCGCCCGGAAGTCTCGGGCACCTCGAAAACGATATCACGCCTCACCACGCTCATGCAACACCCCGCACAAAATGGAATTGTAAACAACATCCAAACACATTTAATTGATCAACATTCCACAAATATCACATATCTTTGCTTACCTTTCCTTCAAATTTCCGTGTTCAAGTTGTCGTGTTTAACATGGTACGTTCAATTAGTTGTATAGCATTACTTAAAATATAGCATGATGAGTAATGAACGTAGCATTCTAAATCGTCCTCGAAAGAGCATGACCTTAATATTTCAATGCGACTTCCGTATCCAATAATTTGCATCAACGATGGCGCTTTAAATAACATGCACATAAAAAACGCTCGCTAGGAAAACTTTATTACGAATTATCTGGTGAAATGTATCTAAAAAAAAACAATATACCGTTAAATCGTTCACATATGTACAGAAGATGGACGGAAGTATATTTTAAAGAAGAATTAATTAAAATTAGAATTATAACTATACGAAGAAGAAGAAGAAGAAGAAGAAGAAGAAGATCGAGAAGAAGAAGAAGAAGAAGAAGAATTAAAAGAAGAAGAATAGAAGAAGAAGAAGAAGAAGAAGAAGAAGAAGAAGAAGAAGAAGAAAAGAAGAAGAAGAAGAAGAAGAACTTAAGAAGAAGAAGACGGAAGAAGAAGAAGAAAAAGAAAAGAAGAAGAAGAAGAAGAAGAGGAAGAAGAAGAAGAGAGAAGAAGAATTAGAATGATAAGAAGAAGAAGAATTAAATGAAGAAGAATTAGAAAAAGAAGAAGAAGAACCTAGAAGAAGAAGAAAGAAGAACTAGAATTATAAGAAGAAGAAGAAGAAGAAGAAGAAGAAGAACTTAAGAAGAAGAATTAAAAGAAGAAGAATAGAAGAAGAAGAAGAAGAAGAAGAAGAAGAAGAAGAAAGAAGAAGAAGAAGAAGAAGAAGAAGAAGAACTAGAAGAAGAAGAAAGAAGAACTAGAAGAAGAAGAAGAGGAAGAAGAAGAAGAAGAAGAAGAACTAGAAGAATTATAAGAAGAAGAAGAAGAAGCGCGGAGGCTTTAACGTTTCATTGAATTGAAAGGAGACGATTCGTTGTACCGTTCTCGACTCTTAATCCTTGTGAATTCAGTCCCCCCCCCCCCCCCCCCCCCCGCAAAGCGCGGAATTAGCTTTGACGTTTCATTAAATTATTGGAGAAAGAAGACGATTCGTTGTTCTCGACTCTTAATCCGTGTCAAAATTAAGTTTCTTTTGAAGTTTAATTAAATTATTAGAGAAAGAAGACGAATTCGTTGCACCGTTCTCGACTCTTAATCCTTGTCTGAAATTCAGTCCCCCCCCCCCTCCCCCGCGCGAAGCGCGGAAGCTTTGACGGTTCATTAAATTATTAGTGAAAGAAGACGATTCGTTGTACCGTTCTCGACTCTTAATCCCTTTTCTTCCTACGTTCTCTTCCTTTCTTCTTTCTCTCTTTTTCTTCTTCTTTCTCTTTTTTTATGGGGGGGGGGGGGGCGGCGGCGAACGCCCCCGCCCCCCTGGCTACGCGCCTGTGCCGAGTTTTATTCTTCCCACAACCATACAATGTACACTATATCAGCGGGACGTGCCCCCCTTGGAGTTCTTATACTTTGGAACAAACTTCCTCAACGTTAGAAACTTTCAAGAGTATTCTTTTTTATTTTTTTTATTTATGTTTTATTGATCATTCATAATCATATTTTTACAAACAATCATAGGAGAAATAACAGTTAAAACCAAAAGAAAAAAACAAAAAACAAAACCAACAAATAAAACACAGCAGCAATAAATTATACCATAATATAAAACAATGGAAAGCTAAAGCCCTAACTCAGCCGCGGGGGGCTCGGGGAAACGCCGGGGCTCCTGCAATTCCAGCATGAACAACCCGATAACACACATTTAAAAAAACAAAAACGACCAGGTGACCACGAGCAGACTTCCGCAAAAAAGGATAAAGACCGCTTCCCGAATCCCCTGCGGCGCATTCCTTGAGCAAGAGATGGCTACGAATAAGTAGAAACAGTTATGAATCTACATCAAAACTTCAAAGTTCAAACAAAGATTAAAAAAGATCCAATGTACATTCTATAAACATACAACTTCCGATTATGTACATTACATTCTACATAGGAAAAAGTTAAACATCGAATTCCATTTCTTTTTAAATGGGTGGAAAGTTTGTTTCTCTTTTTTGCAAGGAAATACTCAGTTTCTTTATGTGTCTTGACAAATGATTTACATTTTCAAGAGTAAACTTAAGACTTACCTGATCAATATGTAATGTAATCATATTTTGTTTGTTAATTATTATAAATGTAATGTAAATATTAATATTATTATATTATTGTTATTATTAACAATCTTTATTTAACAATAATTGTTATAAGAATTATGCATGCAGGCTTTTGTTTCTAATTTGGAGGTTAACATTACTTTATATTTTTGTTAAGTACTTTATAATTAATTTACCTGTGGCCTAAGTACTTCGGCCCGTACACCGGTGCCAACACGGGCGGTACGTACTCGCCTAATAGGCCTACGGTATACGGGGAGTGCCGCTCTGATAGGCAATTTTTTTTGCAAAAAGATCCATAAACGGTATGTGCTGCGAAATCCCTAAAAGTGCCCCACTTTTCAGATCTTGGCCTTATAAAGAGAAGGTTCATTGCAATTTGGAAAACAGGCAAATAATACCTCTACAGATTAAATGCCTAAACCTCTGCCACCTGGACCCCACCAAACTTGGTCCTAAGGCGGGCCTCTGGATGTTCATTTGACATGCTGACCGAAACCCCTGAGCTTCACGGGGCTCGGCCTGCCAGTGTCACAAATAAGGTATCTGAATATCAGTGCTGAATATGCTCATCTGCTCGTAATATAATGCATAAAACCCCCTGAGCCTTCGGGGGCTCCGCCCCTAGACCCCCGCCGGGTCTACGTAATTATACGTATTTTTCTTGCTCCCTCCGACGTGGCGACTCCACCCAACATCCCCCTCTCTCTCTCTCTCTCTCCTCTCTTTAACCCCCAGTTTCTTTTGTTTTCATTTTCTCTTTTTTTTCAATTAATTAAAAAAAAAAAACTTTTCTCCTACCTTTCTTCTCCTTGTTTTCCTCTCCTTCCTCTTTTTCCCTTTCTTTCTCTTTCTTATCTTCTCTTTTCTTTCTTTCTTTTTTTCTTTTTCTTTTTTCTTTCCCTTTCCCGGCTCATTTTTCCCTCCCCCTTTTCTCATTTTCCCGACGGCAGCGCAATTTTACCGACAATATCCTGACTGGTGGTGGGGGGGGGGGGGGGGGGGGGTCGCACAGCCACATCCCCCTTTAGCGACGCCTCTGACCTTACTTACTCTCTAACAGGCAAAACATCCTGAGAAAAGTCTCAAACCAAAAAGATAATTATGTATGTTTTTCTTTGAAGGCGTCACTGTGCAACAAACTGTAACAGTGAATTCTCCCAACCATTTATGAATTTTCCCAACCGTTTTTCCTTGAAAATAAGACATAAGACAGGCTATAAAAAATATTTCAATATCTGGAATGGTACATAGAACCTATTCATTGCTTTGTGACGATTTACATGCATCTAAAATGTAATTAAATTGTAATAATATAGTTGGGAGAAGGACACGATCAGATTAGTTTTTCCCAATTTTTATCGTTTATAATGGTCCGTTTTCACTCAACCTTTCAGATTATCTTTAACAGCATTGAAGTCACTTCCTTCGCACCCGGCTTTGCTATCATCTGAACAATGTTACCAAGTCCCTTTAATGTTATTTTCTTGGACGACGTACGTTCCTCAATCATATTTTGCTTCTCTGATTTTCGTGTATTTAGCTAAATACAAATTGGAAAACTGACAAATCACATAAATGTAATTTGTCAGTTTTCCAATTTGTATTTTGTTTTTAGGATTCCTGCATGTTTTTATTTTTGTAGCGTATTGAATATTATAACAAAAGCACACATATATATATATATATATATATATATATATATATATATATATATATATATATATATTCCCCCCCTTTTTTTTGGGGGGGGGGGGGGGATACCACTTTTTTTTAGGAGGGGGGGGGGCGCTTCCGTCAATTGTTTAAAAAAGGTAAGGGGGGGGGGGTAGATTCTGGGTAGATGGGATGGGATGGTAAGAAACTCCCGACACCCCGTCCAATTATTGCAGGGTCTTTTTCAGCTGCATGCACTGTTCTTAATTTTTCATCCATAATTATGTGAATACAAATAGAGGAATTCGTCTTTGACAAGGTAATTCAGAATTGACCGGGCCGGGTTTTGGGTGAGGTGGATTTATAGAGAAGGCATAATTCAAGACACTTTCTATTTTCATTCTGAAGATAATCTTAGGCCCTTTTATTAATATTAGGGCTTCGAGGTTTTTGAAAGTCAGAGTTTTGCGGATCGGTTCGATAACGTCTGGGAAGTAGACTAGATCTTCATGTATACCATACCGTGCTTTCACGAACAAGGACATCTTTCATTTCACGTTCATTTTTCGTGAATTTTAGGACGTATTTCCTTTAAAAGTAGACCCTATACAAGAATGCCTAGAGCTAGAGAGCGCAGGTACTAGGTAAGTGCAAATAAAACTTACCGTATTCAGCCTACCGATAATTATAATATCACTGAGCTGACTTTAGAGGCCTTGCCCTAGCCTGATATTAGCTGGCACCCATAGATAGAGAGTCAATGCTAATGCCTCCCAATAGATCTACCCTGGCCCCTTGCGCGGCCGCGGCGGCAGAGAGGCAGGTAAACAAAACCTGAAATGCGTTCGAAATCACGTCACACTTTCCGAACGCCGAATTCGAAGATTACATTACATTGCACATAATTAAAGATAATACAAAGTTTTGGTATGTCATGAATTTGGTTCTGCTTAAATTTAGAATACCCCACCAATGCGTTGTGTGTTAACAAGCCCCTTCCCTCGTTCATCAGTTCATAGACGTATAGACTAATTGTTAAGTGGGAAAACACTCCGTCCCTCGGATAGGACGTTAAATGGAGGTTCCGTGTAGAGAAGAGCCGGCGCGGATCCAGGATTTCTTAGGGGAGGGGGCCCAACTTTTTTTTTTTGCTCCCGAAAATTTGAAAATGGTGCCGGCCGAAAAGTCGCTCAGTGGGGGGGGGGGGGGGGGGGGGGGGGGGGGGGGTAGTGAGCCCATTTTTTTTTTTTTTTGGTCCTCGAAAATTTAAAATTTGAACCTGCCCCCCTTGGGGGGGGGGGGGGAGGGGGGGGAGGGGGAGG